AGCTGGAACGGAGGGGCTGGGAGGAGACGCCAGCAGTGGAGAGCCCAGCAGGGCGTGCCCGGAGCGAGCGGAGGCACCGATGTGGAGACTGTGCCCAGACCTTTGCCACCCTTAGAAAGCTTCGAAAGCACCAGGAGGCCCACAGTGGGGGCTCCCACAGCTCTCGGTCTGCACGGAGGGCTTCCACCCGTTTCACCTGCCCGCACTGCACCAAGGTGTGCAAGACGGCAGCTGCCCTGAGCCGCCATGGGCAGAGGCATGCTTCTGAGCGGCCCGGGGGCACCCCCACACCTGTCATCGCCTATTCCAAGGGCAGCACAGGCACCAGGCCTGGGGATGTCAAAGAGGAGGCCCCCCAGGAGATGCAAGTGTCCTCGTCCAGCGGGGAGGCAGGTGGTGGGAGTGCTGCTGCTGAAGAAGCTCCCGAAACCGCCTCACTCCAGGACCCTGTCATCTCCGGGGGTGAGGAGCCCCCAGTGGCAGGGATGGGTAGCTATGTGTACCCGCCTGTGCAAGAATTTCCACTGGCCCTGATAGGAGGCAGCCGGGAGCCTGGTGGAGGTAGAGGGAAATCTGGGAGTGAGGGGCTGGTGGGGGGTTCAGAGGGGGACCGGATGGAGGGGATGGGGGCTGCCAAAGTCACCTTCTACCCTGAGCCCTACCCACTTGTCTATGGTCCCCAGCTCCTTGCTGCCTACCCTTACAACTTCAGCAACTTGGCTGCTCTCCCAGTTGCTCTCAACATGGTCCTACCTGATGAGAAGGGTGGAGGAGCCCTTCCCTTCCTGCCAGGGGTCTTTGGCTACACAGTGAATCCTCAAGCGGCACCCGCTGCTCCCCCAACTCCACCTCCCCCAACCCTTCCTCCACCAGTTCCCCCTAAGGGAGAAGGGGAAAGGGCAGGGGTTGAGAGAACCCAGAAGGGAGATGTAGGGTGAGGTCTAGGGCAGACTCCCTTTCACCAAATGCCACCCGCCCTGAACCTCCCACCACTACCAGCTCCCTGGCCTCCCTGCCCTTCAGGAGCCCTGCCACATCTTTGTGCAGGGACTCGAGGGCCCCTGGAGCTCAGGGGTCAGGCTGCTTTGCGTGAGATTGTAGTTTTCCCATCTCTTGGGAAGGGATCTTTGGTGGTTCCCCTCTCGATCTTCCTCCAGGGAATGGTCCCCATGAGGGGCAGGGCCAGCTCCCGTCCCTTCTCTAGCCCTCGGGGCAACTGAGCAATATATACTTACCTGAATCTCTACTCACAGCCCCCACCAGCTCTGAATGTCTAACCTGCTCCCCTGATTCGTAAATCCAGGGGGAAACCATCTCTCTTGCCTAAAGATCCCCCTCGTTCTGAAGCTTTCTCTAAGCCTTCCCTAGATGCTTCCTAGCACATTCCATTCTTTGTGGCCCAGGGCCTGGACCAGACCATTGTGATACTCAACCTACCCACATGGGAGCATGGCTTTGGATTCCGTTCTTCCCAAGGGTGGGTTTCTTTGTCCCCGTTTCCTTCACATCAAGACGGCATGCCTTCCTTGGCTTCCATGCCTTTGGATCTTCCATGTTCTTTCCTGTATTCCTAGGCCTTGGAGATGGCCTCACCCAACCCAGGTCAAGGAGGTGTAGAGGGGAGGGCTACCCCTCTGTTCCATGGCTGAGCATTTTTCCAGCCCAGGGCAGGGAAGTCTTGACCTTCAAGTCCAGTGATCCCCAGATTCTTCCAAGGCAAAGAGGTGAATAGGTCACACATCTTTCTGCCTTTAAATAGGGCCTCTTCTGGGCTAAGTCAGATTTGTGGGCCAGGAGGGAAGAGCTCTATATGGTATGGAGAAAGGAAGCTATTTTCTTCTTTTTTTCCTTTTTTTTTCCCTTCCTTCTTTTACTTCTTTTTTATTTATTTCCTGATGGTTTCTCCCATACTAGACCAAATAGCCAGAAAAATGATGGGGGTTGAGTGGGTGGAAGGTAAGCCCAAGATTTGCACATAACCTTCCATCCTTACCTTTACCCCTGTCTTCCCAAGTGTGGCTCTTCTCATCACTCCAGATGGTTTTGGGGTAACCATCCTACTCTCCTGGTGGGCTTTGGGGTATTCCCACCAATTTTCCCTCCAAAAGAGCACCTTACACCCCAGCTTTGACTCAGTTCCCCACACCCAAAGATCCCAACCTAGGGATGGGGTGCAGGGACCTTAAATAGTCCCTAATCCCTAATTTGCACTAGTTAACCCTGGTCAGGGGTCCCTATATTTCCTTCCAGTGGGGGAGATGAAGAAATGTTTGCTCCTAATTCTCTTTGAAGACAGGGCCTCCCTGCTCTGTGATTGGCTGAACATTTCCCATCCCACTCACCTCTCCAACAAAACAAAACAAAACAAAAGAGCTCATAAAGGGAGAGCCAGTTGGGGGAGCAAATTTGACAAATGGGAATTAGAGGAGTGCAGTTTTAAAAGGGGGGAAGTTTGTTGTCATCCAAATGGCAGCCTTTCTCCCAACTACTGTTTTTAGGGGCCAAGATGGCTGCCTTCTCAGGAACTGCTGAGAGGGCAAGATCATGGCTTTTGGAGGGAGGTGAATTTGGGGAGGACGAGGAGCATCCCCTTGCCTCCTCCTACCCTCCCCACCCATGGGAAGGGGAGGTGTCTGACAGGCTCCCTGAATGTTAATCACGGAGGAATCACTCCTTCATTCCTCCTCTGTCTCTTTGCACTTTTCTTGGTCTTGGCCACAGCCTGAGTGAAGAATTTCCTACTGAATGTACCAACTTCCAATTTTTAAGGAGGAAAAAGTTTCAAACGGGAAAAAATGCAAAAAAAAAAAAAAAAAAAAAAAAAAAAAAAAATCACAAAAACTCCCACAAATCTTGTTTCTGGCACTTTAGAAAAACTGCGAAAAATACATAATAAAGACATATATCTACACACAAATTATATATATATCTCTATCCAGCGGAACAACAAGAGACTGAGGACAGCCTAGAGGCAAGGGACAGATATAATGACAGTCCCCCACCCCTTCACCTGCACTCCTCTGAAGCAAACAGGCACAGGAGAATGGAAGAGGTTGAGAATGGACCGGGGAATTTGAATTTCAGAATAGCTCAAAATTCCAAAACCATGGACATTTTGGAAGAAGTGAGATTGTAAGCATTTATTTTTTTTTTTTTGAAAATATGACTAAGGAAAATAATGTCCAGAATTTGGTGGTTCTGGACAACAAATGGGATTGTGGCGAAGTAGAGATTAAAATATGTATTTGAGCTGGGGGATTTGAATATCGTTGAGTTGGGGCTTTGCAATTTTGTGATTTGAAAATAATCTAGTTTTGTCAGTTTGTGCCCTCTTTCCCCGTGTTCCCTGGGAAGAAGGGTGACGGCAGGGGGGGAACGCCACTGGTTCTGTGCCACAGCACGCAAGAATTAGAATTCCACCGATTCTAGCTCTATATGTAGTGAGGACCCAGATTTAGAGAAATTGACCAATATTTATCTCCGCATTTGTGTGTGTGTCCAACTCTCTAGGCCAATAAACCAACAAGACAAAAGAACTGTGCACTGTGCGCCACAGTGGGAGGCAAGGTGCTGTCACTTGTGTGGCTGGTGGGTCCGGGGGGAAGATGTGGTGTCCTTGTCCCACAGGGGCCCTGGGAATTTTAGTCCTATTCCCCCTCTTAAGACAACTTTCAGGAGTTGAGTAGGTGCAAGGCTTGGTGCAAGCAGTTTTTTTTTGAGGCTTGATTAGGCGCGTCACTGTAATTGCTATAGCCACTAGGTCCCAGTTGACTTTCATCTGACCTCCAGACACAAACATTAACTCAGTCCACCTCATACAGCCTTCTGTGTACAACCCTGGGTGCAAGATTGGTAGCCTTACTCAGGAGGCTGAGGCAGGAGGATCTCTATGAGTTCAAGGCCAGTTCAAGGCCAAAAAAAAAAGATTGGTATCCTTGAACAGTTTTGTCTTAAGCCAGGCCCAACCCTTTTTCCTGTTTGAAAGTTAACTAATGCACAAAATGTGTGATGGCCACAAGAGACATGACCTTTTTCCACTTTTTTTTTTTTTTTTTTTTTTGTCTTTCATTTCAGGAATTTCAGGGGTGTGATAGATTTCCCATGTCAGTGTCTCCTGGATTTGTTTTGGGTACCAGGAATCAAACTTAGGACCTCGCGCCTGCCAGACAGATGCTTGTGCCACTGAGCTGTCTCTCCAGCCCTCTTTTCCCACTCTTTACTTTTTCATTGGCTTCATCTCTGTCTGCCTTTTCTTCCCCTATCATTTCTAGTATTATGGAAGAATGGACAGGTAAAATGAAGTTTGTTAGGTGAATGGGGGCTTTGTGGAACTTCGGCACAAATACCTTTACCAGAGCAGGCAGTTACTAATCAATAATTTGCTGCCAACAGAATCGGTTCTGGTATTATTATATATAATTTTTTTTTTTTTTTCAAGAGAAGCCAGGAATCCAAATGTCTCAGTGAAATATAAAAAAACTTTTTTTGAGACAGGGTCTCACTGCAGTTCAGGCTGGCCTTGAACTCACTATGTAGCCCAGGATGGTCTCAAACTTACAGCAGTCTTCCTGCCTCAGCCTCCCGAGTGCTGAGATTTAAAAAAAAATTTTGAGACAGGGTTTTGCTATGTAGTTCAGGCTGGCCTTGAACTCTCTATGTTGCCCCAGCTGGCCTCGAACTCAGTGATCCTCCTGCCTCAGCCTCCTGAGTGCTGGATTACAGGCAAGTGCCACCACTTGCCTCCAAATTTTAAAAGTAGTAAGCTTACTGAAATGTGAAACTTTTTTTGTTTTTTTTTTTTTGTCTTTTTGAGACAGGGCCTCCCTATGCAGTTTAGGCTGGCATTGAGCTCACTTTGTAGCCCAGGCAGGTCACAAACTCACAATGATCCTCCTGCTTCAGCCTCTCAAATGCTGGGACTATAGGCCTGCTCACGCCACCACAGCTGGCTGTGAAATGTGAAACTGTACAGACCAACAATATGGGCCACCCAAAACACACCCTTTGGTAAACTCATATATATTATTATGGTATATACCATAGGACATATATTTTCATTAGTTTCATTTTACAGATGTGGAAACAGATACAGATCAGTTTGGTAGTTTGACCACCAAAGGTGGAAGTTGAATGGGAGTCTTTAAAATGCATTTTTTTTTCTTTTCACATTGCAGATACAGCCTTTTAGAAAATTTTTTCCCTCCCCATCCTAGATGTAGTATTCATTACAAAAGATAATTATAGAAAGGTTTAAAAAAAAGCCTACTCCCAACATGCAAATGTAGGCACTGTTAACTGGTGTATTTCCTTCCAGAAATTTTCTCCCTCAGTGTTCAACAAATGTTCAGCACTTACTGTGGGGTCAGGACCTCTGCAGGGAGCTGGGACATGACAATGAAAAAGACATATGCTGCCTTCATAAGGCTTACATTCTAGTTCATGCTCTTTGTTCTGCATCATTGGGCATGTAGGTGTTATCCAAAGGAGCTTCCTCGGTACCCCAGAAAGTAAACAGCTGTTATGCACATCAGGTGGGGCCAAGGCACCCTGACAGCTGCCAGAGGCAAAATAATAGGGCTGGATTTCTAGTGAAAGCAGAGAGGGGTAGTACCAAACTCTCAGTTTAACTGGCTGAGGACTTGGAACTTGGCCCCTCAGTCTTCAAGGAAAGGGGTCGGGAGGGGGCAAGTGGTAGGTGGCATCTAGGAAAATGACAAGGGTCCCGACGCTCGTGAAGATGATGAAGGTCCACAAGAAGAGGCGATCCACTACCATGGCCACAAACTGCCAATCCTCCTTCAACTGGGATTAGGCAGAGGAAACCTCCTGAGCTCCAGACCCTGACCGCAGGGGAGCCCACCCCCACAACTCTATACCCCACTGGGGTTTTCCTACCCCAGGTCTGGGAAAAGTCCTGGCAGTGTAAAAGGAGAGTAAGTCTTGGAGACAAATGCTAGCAATCAGTCGGAAAGTAGGGGGCGGGACCACACGAACAAGCCTCCTAATCAGAAGCGGAATTGGTGCTAGGGGCGGAACCCGAATTTAGAGGTGGAGCCAAAATAACCGAGGTCTTGCCCTGCTCCACCCTCACTGAACTTACTGCGTCATAGTCCTCTTGTTCCTGCAGCTGTCTAGCGATGTAGCTGATCGAGGAAACAACCTCACGTAGCTCGGGAGGCAGCCCCACCACTGCTCGGTTTGGACCATCGATAAATCGTCGCAGGTCCGGGGCAGACAGTTCGGGTTGGAACCTGCAAAAGGCATGACTGGCCACAACACTGGCGCAAAAACAGAATAGCCAACCCCAGTTGCGTAGGCCACACCCCAGCTGTTTCTTTCAACAACCTGCCATTTCCCAAAACCCTAGAGGGCCCTTCAGGGCCACCCCGCCAGCGGTGATCGATCCAGCCTTCTGCACAACTCCATCCACCCGTCTAAAATTGTAGTTGCCACCTTCTCGCAAAGCAAGCTGCTGAAGAAATACTACAACTCCCGTGATGCTCAACAACAACATTTTCCGTAAGCATGATCGGCCAACTTCCGCACAGTCTTCTGGGAACTGTAGTTCCCTCTCTCACTTTCCGGTGGGTGATGGGTGCAGGGCCTACCTGTTGGGTTTGGGGAAGAGAAAATTACACGGCGGCTTCCGAATGAAATATTCATCTGTTCCCCGACCCCAGCCACTTCCTGGAGAAAAAGAGTGAGGGGGCTCCGGTAGCTGGTCTCTGTCAGGTTTGGGTCTCTTCAGACCCAGGTACAGAGGGAGCTTGTGGATGAAGATCTGCAGAGTAGAAGATGCATATTAGAAAGGAGTGTCATGCATTAATACTACAACAGAAGCAGCCAACCACCGCCACTCCTCATGCCCATTGTGGAACATGTGTGCACAGGGTCCAACAGAGCTACACAGACAAGAAAATGCAACCCTTAAGCCTTATGAGGGATGTGTGTGTGTGTGTGTGTGTGTGTGTGTACGTATGTGGTACTGGGGGTTGAACCGTGGGTTGTCCACTAAGCTACATCCCCAGCCCCCCACCTTTGTTTTTTTCTTTTGTTTTGTTTTTTTGTTTTGTTTTGTTTTGTTTTTCTCCGGTACCAGGAACCGAACTCACGACCTTGCGCTTGCCAGGCAAGCACTTTTGCCGCTGAGCTAAATCCCCAGCCCCTTTGTTTTGTTTTTTATTTTGAGACAGGATCTCACTAAGTTGCCCAGCTGAGTTCCAATTTGTAGTTCTCCAGATTCAGCCTCCAAAGGGTGCTGGGACTACAGGTGTGCATCACCACACTGGCTTTAAGAGCTCTTTTGTGGGTTGAGAGGCTTCTGAGAAGTGCTGAGGACTTCCACCCTGATAGTCCCTATCCCTGAGGATGTTTTCCTGGAATCAAAGATGGGCAGTATTGATAAAGAGTATAAGATCTACAAAATGATAAAGATGAGAGAATAAAATTCATTGTGCAGTGTTTCAATAGCCAGCAAGCTTGGGCACTCCAACAGTCTACTCAGGAGCTATAGTTCTACCTAAGGTCTATACACAGGAGGTTGACCTTGGTGGGAAGGGGCAGTGATATCTGGACAAAAAGCCAAGTACTAGGATTGGGAATTAACACAGCTTGGAGGAGCACTCTCTTACCTGACGGACCCAAAGCGGCATTTGGTGGGTGTGGGGTGAGCGGTGATGCAGGTTGAGGACCACCACACTAAAGATGACTGAGAAGGTGACAAGGATCATGGTAAACATGAGATACTTAATAATGATGGGGACCGACAGGGAGGTCTCAGGCACTTTGTCCGCCAGGAGCAGCAGGAACACAGTCAGGGTCAGCAAGGCAAAGATTGAGAGCCCCATCTTCTCTCCTTGGAGGGCAGAGGAGAAGGTAGAAGAATTAGGCTTTCTCACACAGAAATCTATATGGTACAATCAGTGACCATGTTTCCAGCTGGCTCAAAGATAGTTGTTTTTTTGTCTTTGGTGTTTTTCTAGACAGGGTTTCACTGTGTAGTTTGGGCTGGTCTTAAACTTACTATGTAGCTCAGGCTGTCCTTGAACTCACAGCGATTCTCCTGCCTCAGCCTCCTGAGTGCTGGGATTACAAGCATGTGCCACCACTCCTGGCAAAGATAGGGTTTTGGAAGAGCTATTTGCTCACAAATCACCCCCACATTTATTCTCTCAGGCTAGACTTCTCTCCTGAACTCCGGGCTCACATCCTGGCAAGTGCAAGGTCCTGAGTTCAATTCCCGGTACAAAAAAAAAAAAAAAAAAACCACACAAAAATATGCAAGAAAGGAAGGAAAAGAAAAGAAACAAGGAGAAGGCCAATGTAACTAAATGAAATAAGGAAGTAGGGAAATAGGACATGAACTCCAGGAGTGTTAGAAAGGGTTGTAGCCATAGTAAGGACTTTTTTATGCTGGAGATGTGAAGCCATTAGAAAGTTGGAAAGAGGAATGATCTGATCTGATCAAAAATTATCCACCTTTCCACTTGGATGTCCAACAGACAACTTAAACCTAACATGTCCAAAACCTAACTCACAACCAAACTGCTCTTCCAGAGTTTTCCTCATCATAAGGGGCAACTCTGGCTTTCCTAGGCTCAAGACAAATTCTATCAAGTTGGGTGTGGCAGTGCATGCTTGTAATCTCAGCACTTGGGAGGCTGAAGCAGGAGGATTGTTGTGAGTTTGAGACCAGCTCGGGCTACATAGTGAGTTCAAGGCCAGCCTGAACTACATAGTGATACCCTGTCTCAACAAAACAAAACACAACACAACACCACACCACAAAAGAGACAAACTCCATCAAATTGTTCTCAACTCCAGTCTCTTTCTCCCCCTTTGTCCCCTCCCCACAACCCATAGCAAACTCTATTGGCTCTAACTTCAAAGTATGTCCTAAAATTGATGACTTCTCACATCTACCATTCTGGTCCCAACCATTATTCTTTCAGATCTGAATTGTAAATGCTTCCTAACTACTCTGTTTCATCCTTTGACCCCCACTGACCATTCTCAGCACACCAGCCAGACTGATCTTGTTGAAATATAAATCAGAAAAAAAGAAATATAAATCAGATCAGATCATTCCTCTTTCCAACTTTCTAATGGCTTCACATCTCCAGCATAAAAAAGTCCTTACTATGGCTACAACCCTTTCTAACACTCCCGGAGTTCATGTCCTATTTCCCTACTTCCTTATTTCATTTAGTTACACTGGCCTTCTCCTTGTTTCTTTTCTTTTCCTTCCTTTCTTGCATATTTGTGTGTGGTATTTTTTTTTTTTTTTGTACCGGGAATTGAACTCAGGACCTTGCACTTGCCAGGCGGGTGCTTGTGTTGCTGAGCTATACCGCCAGCCCACGTGTGTGGTATTAGGAGGCTAAACTAGTACCTTCACACTAAGCTATATCCCCAGTCCTTTATTTTTATTTTTCACTAAGTCACTAAGTTTCTCAGGCTGGGCTCAAACTTGTGATCCTCCTGCCTTAGCCTTCCAGAGTGCTAGGATTATGGGTGTGCACCACCATGCCTGGCTCCTCCCTGTTTCCTAAATATACAAGGCACCCTCTCACTATAGGGACATGGTATTCGCTATTTCCTTTGCCTGCACATTATTCCCCCAGGTACCTGCCAGGGTCATTCCCTTGCCTCCTTCAAGTCAAAAACTCTCTTTTCAGCGAGATGTTGCTGAGATTTTATTTATTTATTTATTTATTTATTTATTTATTTATTTATTTTTGTCTTTTTGAGATAGGGTCTTGCTATGTAGGTTAGGCTGGCCTTGAGCTCACTTTGTAGCCCAGGTTGGCCTCAAACTTCAACGATCCTCCTGCCTCAGCCTCCCGAGTGCTGGGATTACAGGCGTGCACCACCACGCCCAGCTATTTTTATTTTTAAATTTCATTTCTTTACTTACTCTGTGGTGCTGGGGACCAAACCCAGGGACTTTCACATACTAGGCAAGTCATCCATCACTGAGTTACAGCCTCAGTCCTGTCATCCTATTTTCTTTTCTTTCTTTTTTTTAGACAGGGTCTCACTATGTAGTTCAGACTGGCCTTGAACTCACTATGTAGCCCAGGCTGGGCTCAAACTCACAGCAATTCTCCTGCTTCAACCTCCCAAGTGTTGGGATTATAGGTGTGGGCCACCATGCCAATGCTATTTTTATTTATTTGTTGTTTGTTTATTTTTGCAGTACTGGGGATTGAACTCATGGTCTTTGCACTGAGCTACATCCCCAGCCCTTTTTTATTTTGTGACAAGGTCTTGATAAGTTGTTAAGTAGCCCAGGCTAGGTTTGAACTTTTGATCCTCCTGCTTCAGCTTCCCAGAGTGCTGGTATTACAGGTGTGTGCTACCACACCTGGCTCTTGACATCCAATTTTAAAATTGCAATTTCTATTCCTATTCTTACTTCATAACTCCTCCTTTTTTACTTTATTTTTGTTTAGAACTTGCTGTCTTTTAATATACTATACAACAGACTTACTCCCTCACTAGAAAGTAAATCCCATGAGATCAGGGATTCTTTTAAATTCACTGATATACTCTCAGTGCCTAACACATTATAGTACAACCCAACAACTATAGTTGCACAAATGAAAGGACCAACCAACTTCTGTAGCTCTTTTTAGGAATAATATAAGAATTTGTTGTTATTGCTGTTGTTGTTTGTTTTTTTGAGGCAGGGTCTTCCTATGTAGTTCAGACTGGCCTTGAACTCACTATGTAGCCCAGGTGGGTCTCCAACTTGCAGCGTCCTCCTGCTGTAGTCTCCCAAGTGCTGGGATTACAAGCATGCACCACCACACCCCGCTAGTATAACAGTCTGAAGGCTTTACAAATGAAACAGTATACAAACCAGGACTAGTGGCCCATGGCTATAATCTCAGCACTTGGGAGGCTGAGGCAGGACAACTGATGTAAATTCTAGCACCTGCCTGGCAAGTGCAAGGTCCTGAGTTCGATTCCCAGTACCAAAAACAATCAAAAACAAAGAACAAACCAGAGTTAGAGATATCAGGCCTCTGAATCAGATTGGCACGGACCAGGGTTGGAATTATAATGTTACACTTTCTGTGTGATATCTAACAAGTAATTTATACTCTCTCAGTTTCTTTATTCTATGCTATAAAATGGAAATAACAATTTAGTACTTACCTTGAATAGTTACTGTAAAGATTAGAATTGAGTTAATACATGTAACATGTTAATTGTATTGTTTATAGCAAGTGCTCAAAGATAGTAAAAAATAAAAACAAACAAACACACTTATATAGAACTTACTGGGTCCCAGGGGTAGTTTTATTTTTTTGTTTGTTGTTTTTGTTTTGTTTTTTTGGTTTTTCTCCGGTACTGGGAACCGAACTCATGACTTTGCGCTTGCCAGGCAGGCGCTTTGCCGTTGAGCTAAATCCCCAGCCCCACGTTTTATTAACTCTGTCAATCCTCATAATAATGCTATATGCGGTAGGGACAATGATTATCCCCATTTCCAGAGCAAGAAACTGACAGACATGGAAATTAGGGAATTTGCCCATGAATACTACATTATAATTCCTATAATTCTGTTACTACATTATTTCTCCTGGAGAAGAGTTGATAGTTACTTCCCAGGGAAACAGAAAGTGAAGGTGCTAGAAGGTATCTGAAGAGTGGAGGAAGGGGAGCTTGCTAGGAATGAGGGGAGGGAAGAAGAGAGCCTGCTCAGCCTGGAATTGGTCAGTCAGAGAAGCAGAGAGCCCAGGGCTGAGGAGCTAGGACACTGAACAGAAGAGTTCTGATATCCCTGGGTGAAGGAAGCCAGAAGCAGAGGGGATGCAGAGCCTCAAGTTAGTTCTGCTTGGTGGGAGAGAAATGTGGGGTTGCTGAAGTCCAGTCCACGATGGCGTAGGTTGGCAGGAAAACACTGTCAGGATTAAGGCTAAAGAGGAAGAAGGTAAGCTAATAGAGAAGAGGGCTGAAGTCCCTTCCTCCTTACCTGCATCTGGTGGTAGGTAGAAGACAAAGATGGCCAGGACAGTGATGAGAATGCATGGGGCAATGACGTTGACCAGGTAGAAGAGAGGCTTCCGGCGGATGATGAGGTAGAAGGTGACCTCCTGACGTTGTCCTTCCCTCCCTCCCTTGGGGTCTCCTGGAGGCAGGATTAGTCGAGAGGGCTTGTGGATAATCTCCCATTGGCCATTTTCTGCGGGGAGGGAGGAAGGGGACGCCAGTGTGTGAGCTATCCTCCTCAATACCAACTATGTCACACTCTGCTGGACAGTCCATTTCTACCAAACTTAGTCAAGCCTCACTTTCCATGTTCACAAAGTGTTATCCCCATCTCGCTGACTCCACAGGGTTAGACTGAGCATCCCTGGCAGAGTCTACTTATCTGGGTAGAAACTGGAAATCAGAAAGCCTGGGGATGTGGAAGCCATGTCTACTCACCAATGAAGGTCCCTTCGTGAATATAGATTTCCTGCCGCTCTTGCCCGTCAGGACCCGTGCCTGTCTTCAGGCTGACCTCTGAGCTGTCGTAGCTGTAGGAACTGAACACCATGGTGCAGTTCTGCCAGTCGAAGGGGAAGTAAGTGACCTGGACCAAGAAGGCAGTCATTCCAGTTGTCAGAAAACAGGTCAAGGCTGAGGGAGTTTGGGACTCACCAGAGTTAGGGGGCACCAAGGAGACGAGGATCACTAGGGGAGGTCACAGGGAAGAGGGGTCATGGAGGAACTGGAGGAGGAGTATTAAGGGAGCCCACTGGGGAAATGAGAAGGGTCATGAGGAAGGCTGAATGTCAAAGAAAATAACAGAGAAAAGGACGCTTAAGAGAAAATGAGATGGACAAACGAGAAATGAGGCTAAAAGAATGATGGAAGGGGGATGGGAGCCACCGAGGAGTCAAGATGTCCGGGAGAGTGAGGGTTGCTAAGAGCTCCTTGAGCTGCTCAGGGAGGGGCTCAGGAACCTGAATGCTGCAGCTGCTGCGATAGAGGCCTGGGGGTTGCCAGCGCACTGAGCCATCGGAAGACACCACGACGCTAATGTCCAGAGCCACGTCAAAATTTCCGTCGTTGCTGCAGGGAAGGGGTCCTCACACCTGAGAGCGGGACTAGTCCTTCAAAGTCTCCACCCCACCGATACCACACCCCCTCGAAATCCCGCCCTCGGGCCCCGCCCACCCTCAGCGTGGTAAAGATCCTACTTGTTCAGCAGCACTACATCAGGGAGCCACACAGATTGGGCTGTGATTCGCAGCACATCGATACCATCGTGCTCCGCGGGGTCCCAGCTCAGCCTGTAGTCAGTCCATTCCTAGGGAAGCAGACGCTGAGGGGCTGTTCGGGGCTCCAGGCCCAGGAAAGGAGGGCCAGAGGGGGTGGGCAGTACAGACATGGGCTCTGGGGTCAAGGGGCCTTTTTGTTGCTGGAATCCACATCAGCTAATTTATCCCACTCCCGACCCAGCTCTGGGTCCCAGTTGTTTAGTCCGTAAAAATGAAGAGTTGCACTAGCCATCCTCTAAAGCAGGTTTTCTTTTTTCTTTCTTTCTTTTTTTTGTTTGTTTGTTTTTCTCTTTTTTTGGAGACAGGGTCTCCCTATGCAGCTCAGGCTGGCCTCGGGCTCGAAACAATCCTCCTCCCTCAGCCTCCCCAGTGCTGGGATTACAGGTGTGCGCCACCACGCCCGGCTAAACAGGTTTTCAAACTGCATTTCTCCACTCTTTAGTGAATGATGAGTCAAATTAGTGGCTCCAAACCAGTGTTTTAAAAAATTACAATGAAAAATGCATGTAGAGTAACTTCCATACATATTGTTTCCTAAAGCTTCTGTTTCAGTTATAAACATGTTTTCTGAGGTTATGATTCAAGAAATGCCCCTCCTCGCCAAGCATGGTGGCACATGGCTGTAATCACAGCACTCAGGAGGCTAAGGCAGGAAGATCGCCGCGAGTCTGAGGCCAGCTGGGGCTACAATAGTGAGACCCTGTCTCAAAAAAAAAAAAAAAAATTTCCTCCCCACCTCCGCCCCGGTACTGGAGATTGAACCCAGAACCTTTGCCCCTAACCTGCAACCCTAGATCTTTTTATCTATCTATCTCTTTTTTTTTTTTTTTTTTTTGTACCGGGAATCGAACTCAAGACCTTGTGCTTGCCAGGCAGGAGCTTATATCTATCTATTTATCTATCTATCTATCTATCTATCTATCTAGACAGGGTCTGGCTAAATTGCTCAGGCTGGGCTCAAATTTTTGACCCTCCTGTCTCAGCTTCCCAGAGGGCTGGGATTACAGGACCAGGTTGCACGCCAGGTTTACTCAAGGAGATTGTAAAGGCAGAGGCATGCCCTTCCCCACCCCACCGGATCTTCATACCAGGTCTAAGTACACCTTAGTGCTCATTTCTTCATCCTTCTCGTTCTAAAAGAGAAAAGTTTAAAGGGTAAAGGCGAGGTGAGATGGAGAGAAATGAGGGGTCAGCAGTTCCGCCGCTCTCGGAACACTCCACTCTCTTTGTCCGAGGACCCACCATCTGGGTCCAAGAAGGTGCATTAGTTTAAGTTAGATATAACTCGGCAACAACCCTTTCCGCTGTCGAAGCTCATTCTGCTTACCTACCAACCTGTCTCCAGTCCGGCCTCACGCCTGGTTCTGCCCTGCACCCCACCCACAGCTCATAATCCCTCCAAACCCGCATCTCCGTTAGTCGCTGTGTATTTACTAGTTGAGCACCAGATTCTGCCCCACCATGTCAGAACTTGTGTGTCGCTGTCTGAAGGTCGGTCCCCAGCCCAATTCCACTTCAAGATCTGTCCACAGGCGGGGGCATTGCCCTACCCGGCTCTCCTCTAGGCCACGCCCACAGACTCGTTCATTGGTCTGACTTCTATCCAATCTCCGCTAAAGGCTAGTCCAACTCTCCTCACGACCTTGCGCCAGACCCCGCCCTCAGCCTGACGGTCGGTCCCGCCCTGCGTAAAGCCACGCCCCCAGCGGTCCGGCGGCCGGACCTCAACCCCCAGCGTGCGCCCTCACCAGGCTGATGAGTTGTGCCAGGCTGAGCCCAATGCTAACCCCGACACGGTCTCCCACCTCCCGCGCCGGCCGCACCGAGCTATCATAGCCCGAGAAAAGTTTCTCGCGGAGTTTGCCCTCCACTTCCGAGCCTCGGGCGCCTGTGGGAGGAGAGCATTAAGTGAAGCCCAGGTGCCCGGCCACCACCGTTGCCCCTGTTACTGCCTCTTCGGGGCCCAAACTGACTTACCCGGGGCGATCAGCGCCCCTAGGACCCCGAGCAGCAGCAGCAGTGCCCCTGGGGTCATAGCTTGGACTCGTCGCTGGGTGAGTTCGCTTCGAGAGCCGCCGGGGCGGCCAGCGCAGGGGAAGTGACGAGGCGCCCGGGAATGTGCACCTGTTGTTGGGGGGCAGCCGCCAGCCCACCCGCCCCGCCTCCGCGACTTGGTCCTGCCCCCAGCAACTGCCTTCCCCCGCCACTCACAGCTGACAGACAAATCCTTCGGTTGTATAAATCGTCTTTAATTGAGAAAGCATGAAGTGGAGAACCAGTCCCCTAGGAGCAGAGCCAGGGAATGAGTGGCGCCTGAGCGGGTTTGTATCGGTGAGGCGGGCATCTACCCCCTTTGTAACAAGCCAGAAGTAAAAGAGCCTGAGGAAAGTTGACCTGCCTTTGAGCACTAGCCTCTCCCTTAGGGCCTCCTCAGCCTATCCTGCCCAGGTCTGCGGGACCCGGGTCTCCTTCCTGGTTCTCTAGTGGTTTTCAGGGCTCTTCCAATCCTACTAGTAGGTCTCACTGCTTTTCAGAATAATCTAGTCTGGCCCTGTTTGGGTACTGAAAACCCAGCTGAGGTTATAAGCTGTAAGATAAAGCAAGTTCTATTCAGTTAGAAGCTCTGGGATTGTATGAGGTCTTGAGCCCAACAGGCCCTCATACTCCTTGGCCTGACCAGTAGGAAGAGGGGAGGGACTTATTGCTGAATTAGGGTATTTGCACTTGGGGAGGGTATTAAGGATGTCCCTCATTTGTCCTTTTATTCTAGTCACACTTGGCAAAAAGACCTCAGCTTTAAAGGGGGCCTGGAAGGAATTCCTGCTGAGGTAGCTAAGTGGTCATGTCCCCTAACCCAGACACAGGTTCAGTCATGCCATGCTCACCCCCTCCCCGAGCTTCCCTATCATGAGCCAGGGATCCAGCCAAAATTCCTCTGTCCTTCTCCAGACTCTCTCTGACAGGACCCCAGCTGGGTTGCAGCAGCTAGAAATTGCATTTAAAAATAAGGTTAGCATTCTATACAGAAGGATAAGATTTTTAGAAAATTACCTAGGAAAAACAAAAGGTAGTTCTTGAGTCAACTAGAACTAATCAGTTCTATGTGAATCAGAGCTAGGTCCTTTCCAGAGCTCATTCTTAATAGGTATCACTACAGAAAATGAAAGTGTGGGTCTAGAACTTACTCTAGAGCAATAATATGGCTATACAGGCCTCAGATCCATCCTAGAGAGAAGAGCTGAGGGTCATGGTCTGTGTCCTAGAGCTGGGATTCAGGAGGAAGTATGGCTCCGTAAAGATCTAGAACCCCATGCTTTAGTATTGAGGGTCTCTGGGATAAGAATGTTAAACCAGTGGTGATCTGAGACTGGTCCCAGTTCAGGCCAGGGCTGACTACTCAACAGGGTTATAAGCCAGCCTCTCTCTACTTAGAAGCCAGGGATTCACCTGGGTCATGGATAGAAGCTTGCTGAATCCAGAACACAGCCTGGCAGCATGCCTGGGGTCCAACAGAGAGCCCTAGTAAAGAAGTGGCCCCTCTGGGTTTTTGGTGTTTCGGAACCTGACAAGACCAAGGCAGAAGGTAGAGCAGGGAAAGAAGGAAACTGGTCCTGAGCTCCAGTGGACCTATAAATCTATGGCTCAGTGGCAATGAAAAGGGGCACAGGGCTCCAGAAAGTGGCTGAGTGGGAGGTAAGAGTGTTTATGCCCTACCTCTGTCAATTTGGGAAACCCTAATGCCACCTCAGGACAAGGCTTTGGAGAACGGTGTTAGTGTGGGAAAAAAGAAGTGATCAGCAGGACCATTTTCAGATATCACCCTCTCTGGCCCAAGGGTCTAAGAGTCCCAGAAGACCTGGAAGTCCCAGCCAGCCCTGAGGCTCCCTCAGGGTAGAGCACCTGGTGACCCAGCTGCTCAGGGCATGTGTGGCAGCAAGGGTAAGAGCAGGGCCAGGAGCAGGGCTGTGGTGGTGGCTGGCTGCAGGGAGCCTCCAGTCCAAGGACTACAGGTCAGGAGGCAGGAGGACTAGAAGGAGAGGTCTCAGGGACACTGTGGAGAGAAGGCTCCCGGTACATGGCCACTGTAAAGGGGAGAGAGAGAGGAGCAGGGAGTTAGGCATAGAAAGACTCAGGCCAAACCAGAGCTCCCTTCCCCTATACTTGCCCCCTGAGAACCCCAACCCAAAGGAGGAGAATCCCCCACACCTCCCAAAGGCCAAAAAGCCTTCCTGTCTTGTTCTGTCATCACAATGTCCTCTTAACACCATAGCCTGGGCTTTATGCTACTGAATGTCCGCATCAAGGTCAATACCCTCCCACATGGCCACCCTTTTCTTTTACTTACTTATTTATTTATTTTTTAATTTTTTTTTTTTTTTTTTTTTTTGTGGTACCGGAGATCGAACTCATGAACTTGCACTTGCCAGGCAGGCGCTTATGCCACTGAGCTATATCCCCAGCCCCAATTTTTTTTTTTTTTTTTTTTTTTTTTTTTGTGGTACCAGGGATTGAACTTACGACCTTGCACTTGCCAAGCAGGCGCTTATGCCTCTGAGCTATATCCCCAGCCCAGCACCTTTTCTTTTGTCCATACCCACCCTCCAGGAGCTTGGGCACAAAGTGGGCAGCTGCCTTGGTCTTCTTGACTCGGTTTCCCTTCATGACCCGGCCCTCCTTGTCCAGGCCTAGGTACCAGGCCCTGCCAGAACGACGCTGGCGGTAAAGAGCAGAGGCATACAGGACGTAGTAATTCTCAAAAACACACTCCTTAAAGCGACACTCGGCTGTGAAATGTGGCTGAGGAGACAAAGATCCGAAAAGGCACAGAGACAGAAAGACATCACTGACAGAAGGGAGCCCTTGAGGAGAACAAGACAGGATGTAATCTGCACTTTGAGGGAAGATGAGGGTAACTTTTGAGTCCATGGAGGAATTGGGAGCAAAAGGAGAACAAGACAGAGCCTGATAAGCCTCTGAGGGTTATGAGCTAGACTTGTGGGGGCCCTAGAATAAGCCCTTTCTCTCCACTCCCAACATCTCACCATCACCTCTCCTGAATGACTGTGGGGAAGTGAACAATGATGAAGTCTGGAGGAGGCAGGATGAGAGGTGGGGACCCTAAAAGGCTGAACATGTTGGACATCCAAAGAGCCCAGGGGTACCTGGGAGGCTGTGCAAGGGATAGGTATTACACACACCCTAGCGGAGGAGCTCTGAGGTGGCCAGTGATGACACACCATCAGCCAAAGCTGGGGGGGGAAGGAGTCCTGGATGCAAAAATGCCTGTAGCTGAGGAAGGTCTTATGCTAGAGATGGCGCCAGTACCCAGGCCACTCAGCCTCATGGTCTCACCGAGCTGTAGAGCAGCCCCTCAGCATTCATGGCCATGTAGTGACCCAGCTTGGCACTCTGGATGGTGACCACACGGAGCCCCACAGGGATCAGGTTGAAGTGGGCTGAGGGAGGACAGAGGAGGCATCACTACACCTAGGAACCTCACCCCCATCTGAGCTCCCTACCCCAGTTCCACTGTTTCCCTTGGGGGCCCAGGAGACAGACCAAAAGCAACAGAACCCAAAGAGGGAATAGGACTCACATCTCCTATCCCCATCTTCCCCCTCCCCACCCAGCAGCTGCCATCCCCTCTCACTGAAGGAGCTGGTGTCCTCTGGGGTGCCCTGGATGCTCCCGTCGGGATTCGCCTGGAGGTAGAAACCCTGGCGGCAGAACAGTTTGGTGACGATGCCTTTGAGCTGAGGCTCTGAAGAGAGAGACATTCATCTTTGAAAATGACATCTCTGTTCCCAGAAACATTCTTGCACTTGGCGGGATCACAGGGAAAGAAAGAGTGGGGGGAAGGAAGTGCGCCCCAGGGCCCCAGCTCTGTTACCCTCGAAACAAGCTCTCTCCCACTTCTCTTTGACTCCTGGCAAAGCTGGGGCTTGGGTTCCTTCTGTTTCCTCTAATCACCAGCTTTTGGTTTAATTTATTGAAATTTATTTAAATGGCTTAATTCCTACTCTACAGCTCAACCAGGAGGGGGGAGGGGAGGGAGGAGTAAGGGGAGACACGCATCAAAAGGCAGCGACAGAGGAAGACACACAGCACTACTGAAGGGCCACCGTGTTTGTGAATACGGGGTGGGGGGAGGCGGCAAGGTGACCACAGGGCAGGGGCTCCCTCTCAGGAGTGGGAGTGGGACTGGGCCTGACGCTGACTCAGCACCTGCTGCTGCGGCTGCCGCGCTTGGCTCGGGCCTCGCTTTGGCCCAGAGCCGGCTAGTCTGACACCGACCCATCTGTTTGTCTGTCTGTCTGTCTTGTCTGTCTGTCTTCTGACTTACGAGGGGCCTAGTTCTCGCTGAGGCTCAACCTCTCCTCTTCGACCAGGTAACCAGCCTGGGATGAGAGGGACATTAAGAAGCTTATCAAGGAAAAGGGGGGAGGGGCCCGCGGAGGTGGAGAGCCAGGCTAAGTCACGTGCAGCCCGGGTCCCACTCAGAGGGTGGGCTGCGGACTGTACCACTGCGGCCGGCCGGTTGTAGGGAAGGAGGGCGCAAGGGGCTACCCCGAGAGGAACTGGGAGCCGGCTGGAGTGGGGCCAGAGGGACTCCCTGACTGTTGTACCTGGACGGGGACCACAAGCTAGCACACAACTCTCCTCCCCTCTGCTTGCTCTCTGCTGACTTCCCTGTCCCCCCTTGTAGGTGGTACGACCTCCAAGTCTGTGCCGGGCTTCAGCCCCGACCTGTGTCTGAGTTCCTGCAGGCACAGGGTCTCCTTAGCCTTTGGGACCCGATTTCGGAGTCGCGCGGAGGTACTGGGCAGGGGTGCCCCGCTCCCTTCTTGAAGATCAGGTCACAGGAGCAGGGCGCACAGAGGGGCTGGCTGGCGAGGTGGCTGCAAGGACACCCGAGGGAGAGCTGGGGAGATTGGCTCGCAGCCAGGCGAGCTGGACCAGGAGGAACCTAGCCAAGTCGTGGAGGAGCGGGAGAACCAGGGCGGGGGCGGGGCGCCCGGAGCTGCAGAAACCCTCGGGGTGACCCAGGCGTCCGGAACCCCCAGGCCCCTCCGCTCAGGATTGAAAGAATCGCGAGAACCGGCACGTAGGCGGAGGACAGTGGGGGTGGGGACTGCCGTGTTGAGGGGGGGCGGGCAGGAGCTGCAGAGCGTTGGACGCCAGAGTTAGCCCCTCAAGCCTTTCCCTTGCCCTCGAAAGCAAGGAGACTTGGTATTATGGACAAACGAGGAGGGAAACTGAGGCACGGTCTGGCAGACTTGTCATTCTGGCCCACCCCTTCCACTTTCGGGGATCCCCAACCCCAGCCAGGCTCCATTCATCAGAGTCCTTGGCCTCAACCTTCCCGGGCAGAGACTTCTGGCCCGGAGACCCCGCCCCAGCCGCACTCACCCAGGCCGCGGTCAGGCCGCGCGGGCCGCCCCCCGCACAGTCGCACCTTGGACAGCAGAATGAGGAGCTGCTTCTGGCAAAGGGACTTGGTGCCGCGGGGACACACGCGCCGCTGCGCCGACACCGGTCGGCTGCCCCCGGGCTCGCGGACCTCCCGCTTCTGCCGGATAAGGCTACTGGCCAGCGCCGCCATGGCGCCCCGGGAGGAGACACCCCCAAACCAGCAGGCGCCTGGAGCGCGCTGGGCTGCTCCAGAGAAGCGCTCTCACCAAGGCATGCTCTTGACGCTCTGGCCCCAACTCATTGCCCCACCCACAGGACCTGAGGATAAGTCTCAGACTCCCCCAGGTACCCCCAAAAGCTGCCAGCCCTCACCCTTGAGCCCTATACTAGCTGCACCGGATCCCGCAGCCTCTGTACTCCTCAGCTGACCTCACCCTCCAATTTTGTCCCCTACTGAAAACTCCCCCCTTCCTTCCTCTCCTGTGTCTCTGTCCCCACTTCCACTATCCCAAAGCCGAGACCTCCAAAATTTCTAGGATGTGGTCCTAATATCCCCGGGCATCTTTCCACCCTATTTTGGGGCCCACAGTCCTGAGAAATGCACTCTTGTCATCTAAAAGGTGTGGGTCCTCAGCTTTGGGGATATTAGTTCACCCCACTCTTGGGGCTACTGTTCAATGTCAAGGAGGAATCTAACCCTTGGTACTTTTTCCTTTGCTACCTTCTAAATGAAGGGGATCTCCCACTTTTCACTGAAATCCCCGCTAAAATGTCTGGTTGTCTAGGTTCAGTGAGAAGAGGTTCCCAGATCCTCTAACTGGAGGCTTTTTTTGACTGTCACCCTCATTTCTAGGAGCATAGTGTTCCAGCTGCTGAGACCCTTTCCTCACCTGTCACCCTCCACTCTTTTTGAAGTCACCTCCAAATCCACTCCTTCTAGTGTATACACCAGGTGGTTGTCTGGAGGACCCTCTGTCACCTCAAAATAAAGAGCATTGGTTTTTGGTTTGGGTTTTTTTTTCTTTTCCTCGTTGCCCCTTAAATTTCCTCAGGGACAGCCGTGCTCTTTATATCTCAGCACTCCAATCTAACTAGCCCCCCACAAGAGGAGTGCACCCACGTTGTCACCAGTCCCCAAATGTGAACAGGCTCCCAACAAGTCAGTGCTTCCTAGCTTCCTGCGACAGGGCTTCCTAATCCTCCCCGGAGAATGCCTATAGCACCCCCTTTTCCTTTCCCCGACGCCCCTCAACCTGTCCCGTCCTGTTGATCCGGGCGAAGGGTGGCGCTGGCTCTGGCTCCAGGATCCTCCCTCCCTGATCCCCGCAAGCGGAGCTTCCCTCGGCACCCGGCTAGGCGTCCCGGACCCCCACGAAGGAATGAGGGTCTCTGCAGAGCGCCCGGGTCCCGAAGTCTGAGCACTGGGCCTGGCGGCTGGATTAGGCAGAGCGGCGGCGGCAGCGGCAGCGGCGGCGGCTGTGGGAAGCTGAGGCGGCAGCGGCGGCCGCGGCAGCGGCAGCTCACCCTCCTCGGAGAGCCGGGGGCGGGGCAGGGGGCGGAGACGCTGGAAAAGGGGGGAGTTAGGCTGGGCAGGCGGAACCCTGGGGTTCCTTACAGGCAGGCAGTGGTGACTGTCTCAGAGGCAGGCGGAATGGAGGACGGGCCACACGTCTCAGAGTTAAGAGGAGAGACAAGGAAGCCTGGATGGGAGAGAGTTTGGACTTCAGATGGAATGGCGGATGGCGGGAGAAAGCAGAGGGTGGCTGGGAGGAAGGAAGGACAGAACTGGATGAGCAAAGTGGGCAGAACTGGAGAGATGGGGGTGGCTGGGGGGTGGTAAGATCCAGCCTGAGACGAAATGCGGCCTCCTTAATATCTCTGCTTTTATGTGACAAATTGATCAGTCTCTAGTTTCCATACCTCCCTCCTCTGCACATTTAGTCAGCAAATATACTCCTCCCATCTCTACTGGCTCCTAAGAAAAAGGCCGAAAGAACTGGGGAGAGGCAGTTGCCTGAGGCTGCACCAGGGCCGGAGGGGTGCTGTCCAGAGTTGGAGAAAGAGACCACCTACGCCAGGGATGGGGCCGAGGAGCGAGAGCACATGCCCGGAGGCCTGCAAGAAGACTTTGGGTCCGGGCACGCAGTCTATCGCCTGTGCAAGGGACCAGCACTCCTCTCCAGGGCTGCGCACGCCAAGAGAAACACTTTCCAAGCGGGTAGTGGAGTCTTTAATGGGCCCCACCCCCCACCCCTGCCAAGCCACCCCCCTTGCGGGCAACCTTGGCTTCCTCCACCGCTGCACGCAGGGCCCGGGCAGGGTCCCCGCGGAGCTGGACCAACGCTCCCAGGAGGGTAGCGGAACCTTCCCCCGCACGGAGCTTTCGGCCACTCAGAAAATAGTGAGGCAATGTCCCAGCTTCGAGCACGCGGCTCAGCTCATCCAGCAGCCCGAGGCAGCAGGCGCCCGCATTTTCTGGCCGCGCCAGGTAGAGCGCTGGCAGCCGCTCGCAAGCCCAGTACAGCAGCGTTCGCAGAAGGTAGGGCGCCGCGGTCTGCGTCCCGGCCACCAGCGGGCGCAGTAGCGCCTGGGCAGCCGCGTGCGCCTGCAGTAGCGGCGCCGGTACGCGTGTCTTGAGCGCTAGCTCCTGGCGGGCGAAGCAGAGCTGCCAGCCTGAGGCGTCCTGCCGCTTGGTGCCGCCGCCTGGTACCAGGTAGAAGGAAGCTGACTCGGAGGCCAGAGGCCCCGCCCATGAGTGGCTCCGAGCTCCCTCTGGCCAGCCTGCCACGGACACCACTGGGACCAAGTCGAAGAGCAGCAGGCGCCGCGGGGGCTCTGGCGTTGCTAGGAGAATCGTGGTGAAGCCCGCGTGGCGTGCTGCATGCACGAGGCGCGGAGCCCCCGGGACAGGGATGAGGGACTCGGCAACTGTGGCCACAGTAGCAAAGAACCAGGCCGCCACCTGAGCGGGACACAACGTGGGCCACGCCTCCCGAACCTCCGACATCTGTGGAACTAGACCTTCTGGACCTTCGACGGTTGACTGAGTGATGTCAGTACTCAGTTCTTGCAATGGTTCGGAAGAGCCAAGGTGGGTGACGTCATGCTGAGACGAGTCCGGCCCTGAAAGGTCACTAGGCGATTTTTCCAAAACTAGATGCGGATCTGACTCAGTGATGTGACTGCGCGGCTGGACCACCAAGCTGTCCTTGGGGCTTCCTTCGTTCTCTGCTTGGTGAATCAAATCACGTCCTGGGACTGGGGGTCCCAGGCAATCTTGCCACGCTTCCCGTACGGAGGTTCCGAGAACCAGCTCTGGGAGGCGGAGCCATGCGTAACAGGATTCTAGGTCCAGTTGCAGCTCTGACCCAGTGCTGTCCAGCGAAAATACCGGGACTAGAAGAGTGAAGCCAGCGTCGTAATGAGGTCCGCGGGCGTAGGGACCCAAGGGTGCATGCCCCAGATCCAGGGAGCCCTCGCGAACCCCACCACGAAGTAGCAAAAGCTCTGCCTGAGGAGGAAAACGCGGGTCTTGGCGGTGAACTAGACCTAAGGAAAAAAGAAGGATCGTGAGGGTATTGTCCAAAGTGGGAGCAGGGAATGACTACACTGAGGACTGCGAGTTCCTACGGGAAGGAAGGGTTACTTACCAAGCAACGAGAAGACGAAGTCCTTTGCCCGGAGGAGGTCTGCTCCTGGCTGCGGCCCGTCATTCCAGCTTTCTTGCACCCCGAGCTCCTGAATCAGCTGGGTCAGTTCCTGCAGCTGCGCCCCAGAGCAGAAGTCCAGGTCCGTGAGCGGCCGGGCTGGGGCCGGCGGAGGGGGGCCCCACCAAGAGGCACTCCCCCAGACGGTAGAAGCCATGCTACCCTATAGTGTTTGGCTAGGCAAAACACACAAGAGAGGTAGCCCGGACAGGCTTCTTTTGCTGTCAAAGTCCCTTCAGTTCTTCCCTCCTTCCGTGGCCAGTCGAGCCCCACAAATAGGTCTGCAGATTCTAGATGTAGTCTTCAGAATGAACACAGTACCTCCCTTGTCCTTGCCCTTTTCTCATATGCGGGTCTCCGCCCCGTGAACCGGTTCACCTGACTTAGCAGGTAAAAAGTAGCTGTTGGGCCCCTCCTACGGAATGCAGTAGTCGGTCGCTGCCCCTGCCTACCTCTCCTTACCTCTTTTTCAGAGGTTTATTGTTCAGTGGCTTCCCCCTTAGGAATAACTACAAAGGTCGGGAAGAGAAAGGACAGAGAAATTCAACAGGCAACTTCCTCCTGATGCCCATATGCCCACGCCTCTCAATTTTGACCACACCCTTTTCTGGAGGCTGTTAGAGGTGGTTCCAGGAATGTCCCGCCTCCAGTGAGAGTTCTGACTCCTCTTTCACTCAGCTGAGATCCCGCGCTAACCTGGGAGTTGTAGTTCGTTTTCCGGGCTACTCTTACAGCCTCGCCCCCACATCCTTTCCTGTTCCGCTGTAGTGCCTGATGGAAGTTGTAGTTTCTATAGCGGTATATTATTTAATGTCTTGTCAATCCTTCAGAAACATTCCTCGGAATTGGAGTAAAGGGGTAATTGGATGGATCTGCACAACAAACCACAATGGACACACCCTAGGGCCTGAGGAGGAGGAGAAATAGGGGCCCTGCATCCCACGTGTGAGTAGAGGAGCCCTGGTTACTTAGATGGAAGAGCATTATTTCATGAAATTATGAGTTTCTTTCATTTTGGGGATGGGGAGACGGTAGCTTAGAAAAGTGTGCACTTGTCCAAGAGCTGAATCTTGCAGGTGTTGGAAAGGGGCTTCCTGGCTGGTTGGAGGGTTCTTCTTGGAATTAGTGGTGGTAATGTTAAGACAAGAACATACAGATGGTGATCCAGGAATGGACATCTGACTCATGGAAGAGATAGACATAATAGCGACATCCACCTCAGACATGCAAGAATTATGGCAGGATAAACACTTTGGAATTTTACAGCTGTATGTACACTAGTGTAGAGTTATCAGGACTACAAATCAAGTCCAGAGGAAACTCCCAGCTAGGCTAGGGCAATGGAAAATAATCAAGGCAGGAAACTGCTTTCAGTAACCAATGTTACTAGAGACCAGAATAAGGGCAGAACACAGCTTGATCATAGGCAGGGATATTGGGACAGAAGGAAAGGAAACTAACAGCAGGCTCACAGATTAGACCAATACTTTGCAGAGCCAGGACTTCTCACATTCCTTCTGCACACAGTTTGTCTTCAGAGTAGGATAGGCCTAAATTCGTAGGCAAGAGAACTAAGCAAAGACATTATGAAAAATTAGAAGCCTGTAAAAGAGCAAACTCCTGAAACTGGAGCTCAACTTGGGAAGTCTGTACCTCAAAGGTCACTGGCAAACATAGCCCTTTTCCCTCAGCCACCAGGACTAGGGAACGGACAGCACCAAAACCAGCCCAGAACTAGAGAATGTAGGTTTCTATACACCCAGCTGTGACCCAGCAGGCCAGATCTGGATAACTGAAAACTGAGTTCTCAGAATTTGGGGTAACCAGGCCCAGATATCCCTGTATTTCACCCCCTCCCTAGAAAGTAGCCTAAAAATTTGAGTTTGATTCCTGGTATGAAATAAAATAAAATAGCCAAAAAATAAATAACATACTTTGGGTATTGTGGATATTTTGAAAATATTGGGGATGGATGACAAGGGGAAGGAAGGTTTTTTAAACTCTAAAGTATTGTTATGCAACAGGATAATTTTCTGCGACGATGGAAATATGCTGAATCTGTGCTGTCGAATAGAGCAGCCACTACCCACATGTGGCTTTTAAGCCCTTGAAAAGTAAATAATGAGACTGAGGAACACAATTTAAAATTTTAATTGCCATTTTGATAGCCACATTTGTTTAGTGGGCTACTGTATTGTAAATGTAGGTCTAGGTCCTGGAGAATACTGGCTTTGACTATAAATCTGGGGAAGAGTGACAGGGACATGATAGTTCTAGTCCTCATCAGACTTTGTTGGTGGTCACCATGAGGGATGGGTCTGGGATGAATGTCCGCGAAAAACCACAGAATATTTCTCTTTCTCTTTATTACTGATGCACGTGTGTCCCCTGTTTGTCTAAGGTTCTCATAACATTCTGATATCCCCACTCCTTGATGTTCTCCCTTGAGTTGCTGGGTGCCTCTCGGCGTAGGTGCCACGGAGACAGAGCTTCACATTTGTCTCTGCCCACTGCTAACTGTCTCTGTCGAGCATCAAAGACCACATGCCCTGTCCGGATACCTGGTCCAGGGCAGTGGGGCCTCCAGTTGACTTTGGGAGGCATAGACATCTGGCGATAGCTCTGGCAGGCTGATGGAACTGTATCCACAGGGTGGTATACCCAGTCTTGGGTGCCTGCTTGTCGGGAGGATGGCTGCAGCTCAATTAGTACAGGTACCTCTGAGAAGGTTTGCAGGTCTGTGGAGATCACATGGGACTTGGTAGGGGAGGAGTTTTGGTTGATTGGGTCAGAAGCCCAGGATACATGATGCTCGGCACTCTCCTTCTGAAGAGCTGCCTCACTTTTCAATGAATTCACCAGGCACGGTGTTGGCTGTGGGGTCAGATTCTGACCCAAGACTTGGACAGAGTCAGTATCTGTAGCAAGACTTGGATTATCACGAAGGCCAGGATCTGGGATAGGACATGCAACTTTGTGAAGGCCAGATTTCTGGGGAAGGCCTGGAACCTTGGGGAGGCCAGAGTTTTGGCCAACTGCTGGATCTTTATGAGAGCCAGGATCTTGATTAATTGCTGGGAACTTGTGGTTAGAATCTTGGCCATGTTCTGTGCTCTTGCAAACTCCAACATCTTGGATTAGATTGGATCTGTTTTCGACTTCAGTGGCTTGGGGAAGGGCTGTACTCCTGTGACAATCAGAATTTTGGGTAAAACCTGGGACTCTATTGACTCTGGAATTCTGGGTAGGGCCTATTTTCTTATAGTCTCCTGAGTCTTGGGTGAGGCCTGAAACTTTATGGAGGCCAGAGGTTTGGACAAGTTCTGGGTGTCTGTGGGTTCCAGATTTCTGGGTAAGTCCTGAACTTTTGTTGACTTCAGTGTCTTGGGCCGGACATGGTGGATTCTTTTGTGTTCTAGAATCTTGCTTAAGGCCTAGGCTCACATGGGCTCCAATATCTTTGTTGTTGCCTGCGCCCTTGTTACCTCCAGAATCTTCAGAAGGACCTGGCCTCTTTTGAAGATCAGTTACTTGGGAGAGGTCTTGACTCTTGTTGACTCCAGTATCTTGGTTTAGTTCAACATTCCTACTGACTCCAGAGTCTTGTATAAAGTCTGAACTTTTCTGAGGGTCAGAAGTTTGGGTAAGTGGTATGTTCTTCTGGAGTCCAGAGGGTTGGGTAAGACATGGGATCCTAAGGACACCAGTATCTTGAGTAGGACCTGGAGTCTTTTGGGAACCAGAATCTTGAGTAGTGCTTGGATTCTTTTGAGGACCAGTATCTTGGGAAGGGCTCAGGTTTTTGCAGTGATCAGGGTCTTGAGTAAGGCCTGGGGACTTGGAGAGGACTGGATCTTGTGTAGGGGTTATGTTCTTGTTGAAGCCTGGATGTTGGGTAAGGCCTGGCTTCTTGGGAACTCTGGAGTCATTTGAAAGGCATGGAGTCTTTTGGAGGCCAGGGTCTTGGGTAAGGCCTTGATTCTCATGAAGTTCAGGGTATTGGGGTTGGATCAAGGGTTGGGAAATGGTCGAGAACTGGGAAGGGATAGGTAACTGGGAAGAGGGGACAGTCTGAGGAGATTTGAAGGTTGGAAGAAAGGTGGGGGTTTGTTCTGAGTTGGAGGGCTTCTGGTGGTTGGTGGACTGAGTTAGGACAAAGGCTTTGGGAGAAATGAGTGGCAGAGAAATAGTGCATGGTGGAATAAATGTGGGCAGTGAGCTCTGGGCAGTGGTTGGAGAGGGAGGGCAATGATTAAGAGCAGCAGCATCCTGGGTATAGATCAGGAATTTAGGATACACTAGGGCCTTAGAATTTGTGTTTTTCTTCTCAAAATTGCAAGGGTGGAAGCTATAGTAAGGGAAGGTCTTAGTCTGAGAGCACTTGTCTTTGGCATCATCTGAAATCTTGCATTCCGTATTCCCCATCTCTAGGTAGCGCAGTATAGATCCTACAGGAGGCTCAGCACTGTTCCCAGTATTTTGCTTTGACGTCTGCTCAGATGTAGCAGAACTCACCAGGCCCTGCCTCTCTTGGGGCCCGGAGAGGGTACCCAAGTCCTTTCTGGAATACACAGAGTTCTGGGCATTGCACTTATGCAAGACGTTCTGTTTTACCCTGCGGGCATCGTAGACCACATGGCCAGTGGAGTGGCTAGGGCCAAAGGCAGATAGAGTAAAAGGAATAGGAGTTAAGAGAGGGGCAGGGGTGGTGGCAGGGGCAGCCCCTGTTGGAGTGGAAGTCAAGGGACACACTGGGACAGGGGCTTGAATAGGGGATATGGCAGGAGCGGCTGGGGCAAGAGAGGGGGCAGGAGCTGAGGTAGGGGGTGGGGCAGGAACTGAAGTATGAGCACAGGAATGGGTTAGACGAGAACTGCCTAGAGTACGTGCTGAAGCTTGGGCTGATGTGTGATCAGGGATGTGGCCCTGGGCGTGGGTCCAGGCCTGGGTTGAGGTATGAACTGGGTCATGGCCCTTGGAGTGGGCTGAGGTATAAGCAGGGATCTGGCCTGGGGGGCAGGCTGGGGTGTGGGCTGAAGTGTTCTCAGAACTGTGGCACTGGGATTGCTTAGGTGTGTGGGCTGGGGCCTGGGCTGGAGTAGGGTCTGAGATACAGATTGGGACAGGAGCTAGCCCCTGGGCTGGGGTGTGAGCTTGGCTGTGAGCCAAGGTAGGGGCTGAGCTAGGGGCTGGAGCATGAGTAGGGCTAGTGGGTGGAGCAGGGAGTGAGACAGGGGTTGGTATAGGGTTTGGGGTAGGAGGTGGGGGAGGGGGTGGGAGACAGGCTGTTGAGGTATGGGCTGAGGAGTGGGTCTTGGCCTTGGGAGGAGCGTGAGAGGAGTCATGGTGTGGGGTCTTAGTCTTGCTCTCTTGGGGAATAGAGAGTGGAACCATGTTCATCTTGTTCATTTTCGAGACCTGGGACAGATGCTCTCTCCTGTAGAGCAAGGAGTCCTCGGCCTTCAAGGCTGTGACCTGAGGGGCTTCCCCAGCTCCCTTCTTCCCCAATCTCCCTGGAGCCTCTGAGGAAGCCCTAGCTTGTCTACATTGAGGTGGCATCCGGAAGCACCTAGAAGCCTTTTCATCATTTGGGTCTGGTATCCAGGAATCGTGGTGGTTAGCATGCCTGGGCAGGAAGCTGGGGTGACGATGGAAGCGGGAAGAGACTCTTGAGCACAGATTCTTGGGCTCTGCAGTACAGCGAATGCACACAGGCCTGGTGCCTAGAGCACTGGGCTCCTTGTCTGCAGGGAGAGGAGTAATGGGAGAAGGCTTGGGTGCCTGATAGTAGGGATAAGGAGAAAAGAAAGGAGATGAGCCCATAACCCTGGGACCCCTTGCCAGGGCCCACTCACCTTCGGGGAAAAAGTGATGGATAAGAATCCTCAAGGAGCCTTTCAGATGCCTCCAGAGCTGAAGGAAGCAGGGGAGGAGAGAGTCCCGAAGTAGAGTGAGTTCTGATTGCAACCACATCCCAGCAGCCCTCCCACTTCAGCCCCTTCAGGACCCCCAGTACCCCCCAATCCTGCTGCTCACTCCCTGCCCTGACCAGAGTCACCACATTGAGTCCCACGTTGAGCAAGATGAAGCTGCCCAGAATCAGAAGAATTGAGTCTCCTAAGTCCTGGCACTTCCTCGGGTTGGTGCCAGAGCACACATACATGGGCTCCATAGTAGGCTTGCTCACCCATGGCCTGGGGTCTCAGGAGTATCTGGGGCCCCTTAGCCCCCACATACTCACTAGGAGACAGACTCCTCTGGCGGGGGAGGGGAAAACTGAGTCATAATGGGACAGGTGGTTGGGATCACAGTGAGGGAGATGGAGGAAGAGGAGGGCCCAGAATAGAGTTCTGTGGTAACCAAGTCTGAGTAACCTGAGCCTGGAGGCCAGCACACCTCCCTGCGTCCCCGGTCATTCCCTCATTGTGCTGATTCACTCAGCTCATCAAACACACCTTCTTCCTGCAGCTTCAGTTGAGAATACTGAGCCCTTCACCCCTAAGAATGGGAAGACCTTGGGCCTTAGCCTCACAGCCCTGGGTGGAATCTAGAGCCTGGCTGACTTCCTGACTCACACTGGGCCACAGGTCTTGATCTGCCTAGAAACAGAAACCCCAGATCTCGACTCTGTCTTCAGTTTCTCTCTCTCTCTTTCTCCCCTCTCTCTCTCTCTCTTTTTTGGTACTGGGAATTGAACTCAGGACCTTGCGCTTGCCAGGCAGGCACCTGTGCCGCTGAGCTATATCCCCGGCTCTCTTTCTCTCTCTCTCTTTTTTGTTTGTTTTTTGAGACGAGGTCTTGCTATACAGTTCAGGCTGGCCTTGAACTCACTATGTAGCCCAGAGGTTGGCCTTGAACTCATGGCAATCCTCCTGCCTCAGCCTCCCAAGTGCTGTCCTCAGTTTTTTGAGCAGGGCTGAGCTTCTGAGCTCCGCTGGGAACAGGGAGCAGAGAGATAGAATGGGTGCTCAGAACAGAGACCTGTGGTTTGGGATGTGCAGCCTTTAGTGTATGATGGTACAGGACCAGGAGGGGTTTGCTGGCAGGGGCATTGCCAGTGAGCCAAGGGAAGCCTCACACCAAGAAGGGGACACTGACATCTCATTTCAGGAACTCAAGGGCAGGACTCCAAGCTTGCAGAATGCATGGGGGGATGCTTCCATACCAAAGACCACCACAGTGTTTCCTGGCCTCCATTTTTTATTCCTCTCTCCATACACTGTCCTACCACCCACTTTCACCTGCTAGTCAGTTAAATTTCCCAGTCCTGTTCCGGTGTAGAGAAGGCCTGGAGGTTGAGGTGGAAGGTAGTGGCAGTGAGCTGGCTCGTATTCTGCTCTCCTGTACCTGCCGCTTCAGCTCCAGGCTGTCATACACCTGGGAGCTGGCATTACCCCCTGGATTCCGTCTGAGTGGGACAAATGTGGTTGAGGGTGGGGTGGGATCAACAGCCTGGCTAACTTCAGGCAGGAGCTGGGAGGAGGGAGGAGGCAAGGCTGAACTGGCAGCTGGGGCTCGTTGGTAGGAGGCTTCGCCCAACATCGTGAGGGAGGTGGAGGTGGTCAGAGGTTGCCGAGCCGGCAAAGCCTCAGCCCAGTCAGCTGCCCGGTACCGTATCTCATGGGCATCCCGGGAGCTGAAACCTAAGTGTCCCGTAGATGGATGCGGGCTGTGGTTGGGCTGGGTGTGAGTGTGGCCAAGGAGGCTCCGTCCCTGGAACTGTGGGGAGCAGTGCTCCTGGTAGGCCTGGGCCTCTGGCCAGGGGTTTCGGGACATCAAGGAAGGTGGGGGCTCAGAGCTCTCCATACCACGCTGCCGCTGATCCCAGGTGTCACATAGTACATGGCCCCTTGAAGAGTAAGGGCTCTGCCTCCCAGGGACCCAGGAAGAGTTATGGGGAAGCCGACGGGTAGGTAGTGGAGAAGTGGTGCACTGCTTGGCCTCCACATTGCCGCAAGCTCGGGATTGTGAGCCTTGGGGCCCATAGGACTGCAGCCTCAGCTCTGACTTGGCCTCTACACGCTTGGGCAAGCGGCGCAGCTCAGGTGACAAGTAGAGAGAAGGTGGTGGCAAGCTAGCCAAAATTCCACCCTGGCGGCCCCACAGCCCCACAATGGAGGGCACATTCTTTTGCCGATAGAGCCCACCTTTGCCCCGATGACGTGGGTACTTGAGAATTGGGGAAGACAGATCTTCTAAGTCTTCTGGGTAGGAGTCCCGGTCTTCCAGGTCAAAAAAGGGCACTGGTCGTGGCTGTGATGTCTTGTAGCCGTAAGCTTGGTTATGAAAGATTCGGCAGCTCTTGGGGAACTGTTTGTGGTTCTGTGGCTTTTGCTGTTGGTAGCGGCGGCAGCGGCGGCAGCTGTGGCAATTGAGAAGACCGTGGCAGGAGGAAGAGTAGTAGCGTGTGGGCCGGGCCATCTTTACTTGTACAGGGTCCAGGGTGCAGTGGATGTGGATATCCTGGGTCTTGGCTGGAGGCTCTTTGGGGGAACATTCACTAGCCTGGACTTCATCTGGGGGAGTAAGTGTCCATGAGGTCAGAGTCATCGCTGGGAGAGTTCAGGTTGGGAATGCTGGACTAGGTTTCTAGGACCGCAGTGGTGGGGGTGGTGATGGGGATACAGGGAGTGGTGATGGACCTGGACCCTATATTCTAGCTGCCGTACTTACTTTTCTGGTTAATCCAATAGATCATCTTGTCTAAGGCATTCTGGAGCCCATTCCACATCTGGGGGTGGTGGGAGGGATGGGAGTGAAGGCAAGGCTCCCACCCCAAATACCACCCGCCCTGCCCCAGTCAAGACCGTTCCTTCAGGTGGAAATACCAGTTGCATCCAGCTCCCCCTCTCAACCCCTTTCACCCGTAAGGGTGGTTTACACCCCTCACTGACCACGGTTGCCATGTTGATGCTAATGTTGACAAGAATGATGAGGCCCAGCAGCAAGAACAGGATGTCCTCTGCATCCTGGGGGCTTTCTTGGTATTGATTGCCGCACCCGAAGATGTCATGCCAGAGCTGGTTTTCCATGGGGGGGGGTCCTAGGCCCGCCTGGGCCCCCCCACAGCCCACCCCCCACTGCACTCATGCCAGTACCTGGAGACACCTACCAAGTGGGCAGGGAGAAAGGTCATAATGAGGCAAGTTAGAGAGAGTCACAATATAGAGGTAACACAGCGCTCTTACCTACTTGCCCTTTACATAGCCATCTCTAAACCAGTTCCCAGGTATCCCAGAGTTTAGTCTCCTCCTGTCTGTGAGGCTTGCTTAACCCCACACCTGGCTCCTGATCTGGAAAGGTGGCAGATTTAGTCATGAGATGGTCTTTGAAAATGTGAATCATGCATAAAGGATTTCCTCCATTTCGTTGCGCTTTCTCTCCCCGCAACCTCTCTCCTACTGAAAATTGAACCCGGGGCTTTCACACTGAGCTACATCCCCAGACTCCCTCCCCCAACACATACACACACACACACACACTCAGCTTTGGTATTTTGAGACAGGATCTCACTATGTAGAACAGGCTGCCCTTGATCTCATAGCAAGTGTCCTACCTCAGCTTCCTGAGTGTTGGGATTCCAGGTATGTGCCACCACAACCTGATTCAAGTCCCCTTTTTTTGAGATAGGTTCTCACTAAGTCACTAAAGTGTCCAAGCTGGGCTTGAATCTACAATCTTCCTGTACCAGCCTCCCAGAGTTCTCTAATTACATTCATGCAGCATCACACCTGGCTCTTCATTGCTCTTTTGAGGCATTATGGCAACCTATGTAGCCTGCTGGTGTACCCCATCCTGTGCCTAGTTTGGGGCTGGCAACTAAGGTGGCTGGATGATGAGTGATGGTAAGCGCTCCCTCTGGGGTCATCCTGCCACACCAGTTCCTTCCTATCCTATTTTCCTGTCACTATTTCTTTAACACATGTCTTTGTCCAGCCAACCTTTCCTGGCCAGGGATTGCAGCCCTAAGCAATGGAGATCCCTGAGCCAATTGGCTGCTTTGCTTCAGTCATATGCGCTCCACCTTCCTGAGGTTGCTGCCCCTGCCAGGGACCTACCCAAGCTATGGTGTCCCTCCTTCCAAACCGACTATCCTTTCACTGACCCATACCTACTCCAAGTTGAAAACCTGGTAGGTGCCCCTGAAGAAAACAATATGGGGGGCTGGGGATTTAGCTCAGCGGCAAAGCGCCTGCCTGGCAAGCGCAAGGTCGTGAGTTCAGTTCCCGGTACCAGAGAAAAACCAAAACAAAACAAAACAAAAAAAAAAACAATATGAAATTAACAAAGCATAAAATAGATGTAATTTGTTCTGTTTTGTCTTGAGATGTAGAGCCTCGTTATGTGGCCCAGGCTGGATTCAAACTCATGGCGATCCTCTTGCCTCAGCCTCCTGAGTAGCAGAATTATGGGTGTGCACCACAACACCCAGCAAAATAGATGCAACTGTTGATATGACAAAAGGAGTCTTCCGTGTAAACCAGGTTTGTCGCTGGAGTCTGCGAAAGTGGCACTCTCTGAGGATGGCAAGTAATTCGTTACACAGTAAACTACTCAGAAATGTAGGAATAGTCAATGAGCATTTGCAATCAAGCCTTCAAGCGTGTAGAACCTCAGTTTGCACCCACTGAATGGAATGAGCTTAAAATGATCCATAACATTAGCTGAATGTAAATGAATAGAGAAGTAGGGTGATTCACAGAAGTCTCACATACCTGGAATCTATCTAGGGTGGAAGATAAGGTCCAGCTCCGTCAGCCTGGCCTCACTCACGTGACTATTTATTCCCAAGCTCTACATGTGTATGTGCATGTGTTCCTACCCTCTAGGAGTAGAGTAAGGCCCGAGTTTCCTTGCTGCCTAGCAGATAGAATATTCTGATGAAATCATTTGTAAACTGAAGCAGGTTAGAGATGCTGGTAGGCTAGTCTGACTTGATGACAGTGGGAATATATCTACCTGTAGGAGCAGAGGGATGAAACATTAGAGACCATGAACTAGATCCCTCGTATCTGTAACCATGAGCAAGTCATTTGGCCTTTTTGGACCTCAGTCTCTTATTTGTGACATGAATAGGAACAAGGTCACAGAGGGATATGATGTTATAGTGAGGCACCTCTTGAAAGTATTCCAAATACTCATTTCACCTTCTACTTCAGACATGCATAAGGGTACAGCATCTTTAGGTTTTGCTGGGGAGACTGTGAAGGACTAGAGACCCTCTCCTCCTCACCCTAAAGAAAACAGGGTATAGGAGGGAACCATGAGTCCCCTTGGGGTTACAGCCTACACCTGGGGTCTGGCAAGGACCAGACTTGTGAGGAGTTAGGGTCATGGTGAGCTATTTGAGGACCTGGAGTCAGATTTGATTTGCTTAGTTTTTTTTTTTTTTTTTTTTTTTTTGTTGTTGTTGTTGTCTTTTTGAGACAGGGTCTCGCTATGTAGTTCAGGTTGGAGTTGAGCTCACTTCGTAGCCCAGGCTGGCCTCCAACTCACAAAGATCCTCCTGCCTCAGCCTCCTGACTGCTGGGATTACAGTCTTGCAATTTAGAGGTAGAATTTTCTGGATAATAAAGGACACAGAGGAGAGGGAAGTGGAAAAGTTGGAATCAAGAAGGCCTTGGATCAGCGGCAAAAAGCGCCTGCCTGGCAAGCGCAAGGTCGTGAGTTCGGTTCCCGGTACCGGAGAAAAACCAAAAAAGAAAAAAAAGAAGAAGGCCTTGGAAAAGAAAGGGCCTGTGAAGGCAACAGGTTGATGAGGGTCCCCAGGACTGTGTAGGTCCTACAGCCAGAGAGATCATTCCCTTAGCAACCAGGGCTTGTGAGTGCTATGTGGGCCTTGCCTCCCACCCCCACACACCATCACAAACTATCTCCTTTCCTTTTTATTTTTTTTCCCGTCACCTCCCTGCCACAGAACGATACACCCAGTCATTGCCTGTCCCCTCAGCAGTGCTGGATCTAGACACAAAGGGGTAACAGCGGGACAAGGCCTCCACCTCCCGGGTCAGTTCCCGAAGCCGCCGCCTCACATCTCGGGCATCATACACTATTCGGCCTGAGGAGCGTCGCCTAGGGACTTCAGGAATGAGTGCTGGGCCCAGGAAGGTTGGTGGGACAGGGTGGCACTGTGCTGCCTCAGCCTCTGCCCCTACCCCAGTGTTCTTGTGGTTCACAGCCTCCCCACAGGGAGGTGAGGGGTTCACTGGATACACATAGGCCTCTAGGCTCTGCTCTGACCGGATGTGTGTTTTGAGTGGCTTTCTCTCCATAGCTGACTGGAAGTGCTTAGTATGGGGTGGTGGCTCCAGAGTGTCCTGAGTGCAGGAATCCCAGGTCTCCGGTGTGGGTTGGAAGCCTTCCCAGTCCCTGGGGACTTCCCAACAGATTGTTGGGTTCTGATATGGGGGCTTTTCATCGTCAGTATCAGGGCTCCAAGCTACGGGACCATGGGCATGGCACAGAGGAGAAGATCGATGGCGGCGACGACGAGTGGGTGGGGGGGTCACGGTCATTTTCACAGGGTTCATGGTGCAGCGGAGATGTACTGCAGGGGACCTCTGCTTCCTCGGCTGGGTTGGCTTTCCAGGTGAAGATGACTTTGCAGTTTCTGTAGATCAGGGAGAGGTGAAGCTGGGTGGGGGTAGACTGGCTCCCAATAGGGAAGGGAAGCAGGCCTTGGGGAGAGAAGCTGCGCCCACCACTACCCTATCTGAGAGGGTAGGATAGCAAGGGGCCGGGCTAGGGCTGGGGCTAGAATGCTTGGTTTCTGTCCCTCCGATGCCCGGCCCTGCTTACCTTTCTCACAAATGATGTGGAACATTTGGCGTAAGAAGACACGGACTCGGCTCCAGAGCTAGGTGTAGGAGGACATGGTGACCCCAGGCAGGTGCTTGTCACCCCGGCCCCCAGCTATCCCATCAATACCCTCCCACCTGGCCCTGCCCTGACCAGGATCACCACATTGATGCCAATGTTAATGCAGATGATGAGGCCCAGTAGCAGTAGGATGGAGTTGCCCACATCCTGGCAGTTGTTGTTGGTGGGGTTGTGATACAAGGCCCACTCAGGCCGTGGATATTCAGCCATGGCCATGATGGTTTCTAGGGCCACTAGGGCCCTTAGGCCCCCAGCCCACTGTGCCCAGAGCCCACCAGCCCACCTACCTGACTCAGAGTTTCCTGAGGGTGAGTGGGTGGGTCACAATGATGCTGGGGCTCTCCCTCACAATGTGCCAAGGGGCTACTCTCAGAGCATTAGACCCAAGGTTGACGCTTCACCTTGGATACAGGCTTGGCAGGGCCAAACCTTTTACCTTGCATGCCTTTCCTGCAGCTTGCTACCTGGACCAGCCCACTGGCCCTCTGCCCTGTTTGGCATCTGTCCCTATCCCGTCCTCCTAGAACTACACCAGATTCTGTTCTCTGCGCAGCCTGATTGGAGAGCCTTAACTCTCCAATCCCATTACTGTGGCAATCTTACCCCAGTACACACCTTCCCTTCATCTCAGGCCTCTGAGCTGTTCACTAAAAAAGGGGGGCTAGAGGTTTAGATCCCCAAGGTTTCTTATTTCAAGGTTACCCCTCAACATTCCAACATATCAGCAGGCACAATCAACAGTTAAACTTTTATATTTACAATATTCTCTTCATCTTTTGCCAGGTTTAAAAATGTGTACAGAGCCGCAAAGGGTTGGGGTGGGGACATGGGATTGTTCCGGAAAGAGGGGCTGGGCATTGGAGTCCGTGGCTGAATCATGGGGTCCCCCAGCCCCTCCCGTGCCCCTATTCTGAGGGCATCTGCCTACAGGGCTCAGGGCCCAGGTCACTAGCATTTGGAGGGCATGGCCGTTCCAAGAGGAGCTAGACCAAGCAGGGGAAAAGGCCAGATAAGAACTACGTTTCCAGGAGTGGAGGTGGGAGAAGAAGGGACAGTCAAGAGGCAAAGTTCTGGGGCTTCCTTCAGACTGGGGTTTCTGGATCTGGGCGTCCGTGGAAGACAGCACCCACCCCCTGGTTTGGCACTAGCATCCCACAGAAAGCTACACAGCTGACGAGGATCTGCTCCTCCTCCGCCGGTGCCCCTTAAAACCCTTCCTTACATCGTTTTCTCCAGAGGCCCAAACCCAAGGACCTCTGGGCAGTGGCCTCGCATTTCTTTTCAAATTCTTCCTGCTGGTGTCTGCCGAAGCCCAGTTGCCCACAGCCTCCTCCATCTGCTCCTCAACACAGCCGACCTCATTCTTTCCCCAACCTGCCCGTGAAACCTTTCTGTTCCCTCCCCCGCTCCTTCCACTGATCCTTTCCTTTAGCTCTGGCAGCCAGGGAAAGGGGACGGGTCAAGAAGGGGAGGGGAGAAGGTTGGTCTGACCCTGAGATGGGGGCAGTTTCGAAGAGGGAGACAGAGACGGCAAAGAATAGGGAAGTGAGGCAGCGAGGGAAGGAGGACATGAGGACGAGAGACACAGATGGGGGCCCCTTAGCTGCCATATCCCCCTGCCCGGTATCTGACTTGCCCCCACCGTCTACCCTGTCCTCGCCTAGGACTGGGTGATCCTTGGCACATTCTGAGTGTCCTCACCCCATTCACACCCACCTACCCAGTTTGGCACGGATGAGCAATGATCTGAGGACTGAGGGAAAAGCTGTCCTCAAGCCCCATGAGGGCTTTGGTCAAACATGCATGGCTCTGTGGGTGGCATTTGCCGCACCCCTCCATCCCCCTGGACTCAGCATCTCTGGAAGAGGGAGGATCCCAGGCCTCCCTCTGTTTTTTTCCCACAGAAATTTCTCCCCGCAGAAACTATTTGACGGGGCCAACATGTGTCCAGGGAGGCAAATAAAAACCTCACCCAGGTCTGCACATCCCCTCAGCTCCTGTTAATTTGAAATCTGTTCCCACCTACTGTGTGAGGAGGAATTAGGTGCTGGGCCTGAGGCTGGGGGATGCAGGGAAGTGCTGGGGACAGAGGGGCCCTCTGCCTGGGAAAACACACATCCACATGCAAGAACATGTTTCCACTCAGAGAAATGTGTCCTGGACCATGGGAAAATAAGTTTCCAGGCAGCACCAGGATGCACGGATCTCCTCCCATCCCCCTGGCAGGAAATCTGTGTCTGTCGTCTGCGGAAGGTGAGAGCCTCCCTGGGAGAACGTGCTTCATCTGACTTGTGCCATGGGGGAGAAACATGCTTCGCTGGGGCGGAGGGGGGAGCAGGGTGGGGGGGCCTGTGATTTCCTTGCTGTTCCCCAGGGACCGCCCTGGGTTGTCTGGTGGCCAAGGGTCACTGTATGTGAACACATCGCTTCCAGGGTCTCCAGGGGATGAGAGTGGGGAGGAGGTGGGAGAAGGCATGAGGGAACAGGGTTCTGGGGTACAAATCCCCGCAGAAATTATTTGAGGGGGCCAACATGTGTCCAGGGCGGCAAAAAAAACCTCACCCTGCACATGGGAAAACACCCCCTCATGAGGAAAGCACGCCTCCACGTGGGAAAAGACTTCCACATTTCCACACACCGAAGACTGGTGTCCCAAAGGAGGGCAGAAAACACCCCCGTAGTTGTTCAAAGGCCCAGGTCCAGAGAAAAGAATGGGCCTCTTCGCATGGGAAAAACACACATCCCAGTGAGGAATCCCATGTCCACCTTAATGCTGCTCGATGACATGTGACAACTCCACAGGAGAAAAGCCTGTTGCCAAGTCCTCCTCCCTTCCTTTGGAGTGGCCGGGGCGGGGAAGGCTGGGAGGAGGGCCTCCCCAAGCCGCCCCCTATACCCGAGTGGTGGAGTGAGGATGGGGTAGCGTGTTGTTGTGGCTGGGAGCAGTGGGAGGAGGTGGTGGGAAGGGCCCGAAGGGATGGAGGGACGGGGGTGGTGGGGGAGGAGGTGGCCCCAGGCCACTGGGCAGCAGGGTCAGGGCCCCTGGGGCTAAGAGAGGCACATCGTCCGGTGCCCGGCGCAGGGCCAGGGTGTAGTCGGGCGGGCAGGCGGGGCGCAGGGCCTCAGCAGGGTCCGCCCCAACGCCACCACCCCGCTTCAGCTGCAGTGACACCAGCTCCTCCTCTGGTGGCAGCTCACGGCCTGTGGCAGGAAGCAGAGGACCCCCACCGGGGACACCAGAGCCTGAGCCTCCAGGTGGGCTAAGCCGCCTGCACCGCAGCTCCTGCCGCCGGTCCCGCTTGTAGTAGAGGGCAGCAAAGGCCAGGATGTTGAGGAAAAGGAGGGAGGCACCCACGGCCACGGTGACACTTAGCTCCGTGGAGTAGTCTCGTGAGTCTCCAGGGAAGCGGTCGTAGGCCCTCGGCCCTGGCTCGGGCTCGGGCTCCGGTGGCAGGGTGGCGGGTGGTAGGGGTCGACGAGTGCCAGGGGCACCAGGGGGTGGGCGAGGTGGCCAGCGTGTGGCATAGGGAGGCAGCCGTGTGGTAGTGGTGAAGAGCTCGGTGTGCAGATTGTGCAGGTGGGGCACAAGCTCCAGCCAGAAAGCAACCTTGTTGGCACGGTAGTTGTCACGCACACGTGGCTTCAAGCCAATGTGCAGGTACTGCTTCTCCTTGCTGTTGAACTTGCTCCACACCACCTCTTCAAAGCGATTAGGCTTGGTGTGGATGAACTTGGTGTCCTGGGGCACCGGCTGGTTGGGGTCACTGTGGGCATAGGAGGGTAAAGGAAAGGAAGAATGAGGGCAAGGCTCCGAAGGAGGGTGAAGTGGCAGAGCTCAGGGACAGAACAGAAGCGCAGAGACAAGAAGACAGCAAAAACAGCTGGGCATGGTGGTACCTGCTTGTACATAATCCCAGCACAATAAAGGCTCAGGCAGGAAGATCACTGAGAGTTTGAGGCCAGCCTGAGCTACATAGTGAGTTCAAGGCCAGCCTTGAACTACAAAGTAAGACCCTGTCTCAAAAAAAAAAAAAAAAAAAAGAAAAAAGAAAAAACAAACAAACAAAAAAAACAGCAAATAAAGCCAGAGAAAAAGTGGTAGGGACAGAGATGTAGACATGGATAAGAGGAGACAAAGAAATTGCCAGAAAAAAATTAAAAATAAAAACATTGCCAGAGACAGGGCCAATGAGACAAAAAGAGATGAAGACAGATTGCTGGAGACAGCTGGAGATGAGGATAAAGAAACAGAGATAGACAAAAAAAAAAAAAGCCACTAAGAGGCAGAAGCTGAGACTGAGATACACCAAGGCACAAGAGACAGCCAGAGACAGAGACACCCAGGCAGCAGCCAGAGACAGCAAAAAGTAAACAGATCAAAGAGAGAAAGGGAGAGATGTCAGTGGATTTCAGGAAAGAGCTATAGACACAGAGACAGACAGACTCAAATCCTTATACATCAGACACACAGCTGAGTGGTCAGACAGGAGCAGAGCACTAGTGGGAGATGGAGGCAAGGGAGGAAGGAGAAACAGACACCAAGCCAAAGCCACCGAGGGAGCCCGCCCCCAGGAAGGTCAGGGACCTCTCTAACTGCTGAATCTCCAGCCCTCGGCTCAGTGCCTGGTACAACAGAGAAGGTCTCACTCGAGCAAGAGAAGGCAAGAGTGAGTGTCTTCCTGGAGGAATGATGACCATGTGATAGAGGGAGAGGACAGAGAGGATCAACTGAAGATGGTGAGGGTGTCCTGGCCTGCAGGGGTGCCCCCCCAGTCCCACCAGTCCCTCTGGCCCTCACCCAGTCTTGGCGAAGTTGGTCCAGTAGGTCATGACCACTGCGCTGAGCATGACGTCATTCTTAGAGAAGTTGCAGGGGAAGAGGTCAGTGGCACCCACCATGGGCACACCAAAGACATAGGGCAGCTCATCCCCATGTGCTGCATCTGCCCACTCTGGCCGGCCCTCGGCCTGGCAGTGGTGGTAGAAGGTGTAAAAGTAGACAGGGGACTGGTAGTCAGCGTGCAGCTTGGCAGTGGCCACAGCTGGGGCCACCCACTGGTGGTCAGTAAAGAGCGCCAGAAGGGTCTTCCTCCGCATCTCACCATTGTCCCGGTCAGCCCAGTCTGTGTACATGAACTTGATGGTCTCCCGCAGCACATCCTTGCCCTCCGGGTAGCCATACAAGTTGTCCACGAAGTTGGACACGGTGAAATCAAAGGCGCTGGCGGACACACCATCCTCACTTTCTGCAGAGTCCTCCACAAACTTGAGGCCCTCTCCCTGATTGACTCCAATGAGCATGTCGTAGTTGAGGAATTCTCCTTGCTGCATGAGGATCTCAGGGTCATCGGGGACTACATCACCATCCACCACAGGCCCAAAGGCAATGTGATAGCTGGGGAGAAGAGGCAGGGTCTTATTACTGGCTCACTGGCCTCCTCTCAGCTCCTGGCCTGCTAAGCCCACATGCAGGTGTCTCCCTTGACCTGCGAGACCCTTCTCCTCTACTTGAACACCTCCTAGAGTCCTGCAGGGCACCTGATCTCTCTGGAAGTCATCCTGAAGCATTTCATGGCACTCTGAGCTCACTTGTTTTATGACCTCCACTGAGGGAAGGCTGCCAAGGAAGGGGTCACTAGTGGGGTCTGAAGCCTATCTCTCCTTGCCTAACGTCTTGCCTCAACCTCCTTGGAACCAGCAAAGAGAGTGAAAGCCTGGCCCTGGTCCTCTCCTACCCCCATACCGGGCAGGCTGGACGTCCTGGTCCACCAGCTCCCTGGAAGGCTTCCGGCGCAGACACTCCACAGCTTCGGCACTGTCCTCTCGGTCACAGCCCACCTTGGCTGCCAGCAGCCGCGTGTACTTGAGCGGCTGGTAGTTGACAGACCAGCTGGAAATGGCAGTGCCACTCTGGGCGATGGCCTTCTGGAAGAGTCCTGGTGGGAAAGGCAGACCTCAGGCTAGCCTATGAGTATCAGCAAAAAGGGGGAGCTGGTAGGGTCAGGGCTGTGAGAAGGGCAGGGCAGGCTGGGGAGGGCGCTGGTACCTTCTGAATGGTGGGAGAGGATCAGCAGGTTGACACAGGAGGCTCCTGCCCCAGACCCGAAGATGGTGATGCGCTCGGGGTCACCCCCAAAGTGGGCAATGTTTTCACTGAGCCAGCGCAGGGCCTGGATCTGGTCCAGGAGCCCATAGTTGCCTTTTGCAGCCTGATCCCCAGTGCTGAGGAAACCTGGAGACGGAAGAAGGGGCTTCCTGGAGGTGTTACGGCACCCTTCCCCGCTTTCCGGGCAACTCTGTGCAGCCCAGAAGCCACACTGCTGGGTGTACAGGAGCTCTGCCCACCAGGTCTGCCCCCCAGACTCCGCCCCCAGAGTTGGCTGTCCACCCTCACCGAGCACCCCAAGACGGTAGTTGAGTGTGGCTACGATGACGTTGCCATAGGCAGCCAGGACTGAGCCATCAAACATGTTCCCTGTGCCTTCCATGTAGGAGCCGCCATGGAGAAACAGCATCACAGGCTTCTTCCCAGAGTCTCGGATATCTGCGTGGAGGGGCAGCAGGTGGGCCAGGAGATTGGGGACAAGGACACAATCAGACTAGAAGTACCACTACTAGCTCCCAGGCCTGCTGAGGAGCAGCCCTGCGCTCAGAGGACTTGTTATTCCCATCCCTGGGGGGCAAGACCGGATTCCCCTTCCTCCCCCACAGCTAGCCCTGGAGGAAGGTCCCTTGCCACCCCAGGCCAGCTTGTCCCCAAGCACTTCTCCAAATGCGGGGCAGACCTTCCAGGAAGCCCAACAGTGGCCGGGGGTGGGAGGTAGCCCTCTTCAGAGCATCTGCTGGGTCCAGGGACGCCCTCCCCACACACAGCAAATCTCCTTCCTGCTCCTGAGTGAGGCCCCTAAGACTGGAACTTGAGCCAGAGGTGCTAGGAGAGTCCTGGCACTTGCTCACACTCAGACCTTGGGCCTCAGCTCCACATGGCACCCTGGTCAGTGGGTGAGGGGGGGCCAGGCCCTGGGGTCCCTAGGGGCTTGGTCTCTTCCCCGCCCTAATTCCTTTCTAGGTCACCTCCCCAGTTACCATGACAACCCCCAGCCTAATTACTGTGGCAGGAGGAGGCAGGGTGGGAAAGAGCCTGCCTAATGAAGCTGGGGTGCAGCTCTGCGCCTTGGACATCTACAAACTGGCCTGAACCCTAGACGCCTTCCTTGCCACAACCTGAAAGGATTCCTTAATCATTGCCACATGTAGGAGGCTCTCAAGACTTCAGTTGGGACTATGGGTGATAAATTCCTCGAGGGTAGGAGACAGAGGGCTTGCCAGTGTCCCCAAAGTTACACTATCCTCCTCTGCAGCTCTCTTGTGATTCAGCCACAGTGCTAGTTCAGGATCACCTTTGGCCCATAGGCCCTGATCTTTCTTAATACCTGCCACCCAGACTTGCCTGGGTGCTCAGAAACAGGAGCCAGACCTGGGGCCCCCCACAGCTGGTCCCCAGCACCTCGGTCAACTCCTACATCCTGATAAATTCTCTTTGGGCCAGAAGTTCGGCCTGCTGGTTATAAGGACATTTCCCTGGACTCTTCCCAGCCAGCTTGCTGCCTCTCAGGCCTTCTCTGCAGCCTTCTGATTTCCTCATCAGAGTTCCCAGATAGGCAGCACCCTCTGTGTCCACCCAAAATCCTGTTCTTCCCTTCGTTCCAGACTTTCCAGCAGCTTCAGGCTGGAATCCCCTTCCCTCCTAGGTCCTGTCTAAAAGCCTTTGATTTTTCTCCACTCTCCCCCCACCCCCTCCCAGTGTGGGGCAAGGGGATTCAGAAAGGGAAGGAGCAGGAAGAGGGTCTGGGGCAACAAGAATTCAAAACCAACAACAAAAACAGGATCAAGAAAGAAGAAAGAAAGAAAAAAACAACAACCAAAAAGCAAGAAGCTCTTGGGGCAGATTCAACAAGAAAAGAAAAAACAAAAAACTCCATTTTGGAAAAAAAGAAAAAAAGAAAAAATTCTTTGTATTTTTTTTTTTTCCTCAAAATTTTGTGGTGAAATGTCAAGATATTGGGCCTTGTTTTAAAAATTTCCAAATTCTTTGATTTGCTTCAAATGTTTGCATTTTCTGTGTCTGATAGGCTTTTAGAAATTGTAGCAGATTTCTGATGTTTCAATTGTGTAGTCAATTTGCCAACTTTATCATTTTTTTTTTTCAAATGTTGTTTTGCTCCAAATTAGAGTTGTTTTCTCAAATGGTACATTTCACAGGTTTCAAGACAGTCCAAATTTCTTTCAAACTATAAACATTTAATCCAATTCTTTGGGCTTTTTTTCTGACATTCCAATTTCTTTTCTTTTTCCACTTTATTTTCACCATGATTAGCTTTTCTTGCAGGTTTGCTAGTGGGTCCAACATTTTCCAAATTTCATTTGAAGTTTTCATAATTCATTTGTCCAATGATTAAAAATTTTTCTTTTCTTTTCTTTTTCATTTTTTTTAGTTGGGAGAATGACTGAGGGGCCTTGAGGGCTGTGGGGACATTTAGTTAGGGGCAGGGCCATGAACGTTCTCTTATAAGCAATCACATGCAGCAGCGGGATTTTTAAATCTACCTGTGTCTGGCGGATTGAGCGTCGCCTCGTCACGTTTTTTTGTGAGCGGACCTAAGACCGGGAACACAAAACAGAGAAAAAAGGACAATTTTGTGGGGAAAGATGGGGGTCGGGAGAGGTGGTGGATGGGGAGGGGAGGAGAGAAAGCAGAAAAGGGGGAGGGTGAGGGGAGGCAGAAAAAATAAGCCCAAAAAAGCAAAATTCGTTTGCAAGAAAAAGAAACCAAGAAAAGAGAAAAACGTTTCTACAACCCAATTTTGTTCCCCTCCCCGGAAAAAGTCATGCCCCAAAGAAAAGGTGGGTTTTGGGGAGTGGGGTGCCTGAGTGGGCGGAGGCCTGTCTTAAGACATATTGTCTTGGCTGGGAAGGGTTTGTCTTATGGGTGTGTTTGCTAATTGTTGGAAATGAAAGTGTTGGAGGAGTGGTGGGAGCGGAGGGGAAGCCCCTGGAGATCAAGGCTGGCTGCCACCCAGGCCACCTCTCACAGAGGCCCCCTTTGGGACCAGCCAAGCGCTGCCGCCTGCACCCAGGCTATAGAGGGGAAAGGCTGTGGAGAGAGGACTCTGCTTCCCTCTGAACCACTCGGGAGGGGAGAGGGCAGAAGGGGTTTGGGGCAGCCCACCCGAAGCTCACAGCCCCCAGAAGCCCTCTGCTCCCCACTGGAGGGCTATGGGTAGGTCATCTAGGGCTGCCTGCCCACCTACCCAGCCTCACCCGCTCGCATTTCTCTTCAATCCGCATTCACAGGCCTGGCTTCTCACCCCTTCTCCCCAGTGTGGGCAAAGCAGGGAAAGGGGTCATCAGGTCTTGCCCTCCACTCCAACTCATCCCTCCACACTCCTATCAACCTTGTCCCTTACCCAGGCCTCCTCTCCTCCCCCCAAATTGTGAATTTGCCACCAGCCCCACTCCCAGCCCCTGCTCCACTGGCAGAAAGCCCTCCTCCCCACTGGGAGGGTTCAGTCTGGAAACAGAGAACAGGACACACAGTGCCCTGACCCAGCCTGACACATAGGTGCTGGGTGGGAGATGCTGGGATACACAAAGTGGGCCCAGTGTCAGGGAAAGGCCCCAGACTGAACCAGGCAGCAGCTCCAGGTGTCACTGGTTAGGGGGTTGTTCTGGGTAAAGCTGGAACTCAAAGGCCTCAAGGGGTTCCCAGGATGGCCCATTTTTTTCCTCAGTGGCTTGGGAGGGATGGGTCTGCAAGCCCCAGGCTAGCTCTGGAAGACTTCGCCTTAAGGGCAATGTTGGCCCTAAGGGAACCCATTGGGAAAGGGGCCTCTTCTTTGAGTGTGAATGGGAGTGAAGTCAGCAGGGCTCACAAGTGTGTGTGTGTGAGAATGTGGAGTGTCTGTATGTGTTCAAGTGCGCCTGAGTCAACCTCTTCCTCTCAGAGCCGGTGTGAAGATTCAGTGAGATCACCTGAATGTGTCAGGCCCCAAGAAGGTCTGTAATAAACAATGGTTAAAAATACAGGAAGTGTGGGCATAGGTGGTATGGGGGTAGGAACAGACAATTTGTGTGGAAGTGTTGGGGTAGATGGTCCAGTGGTAAGAAGTGGCAGGTACTTCATATGGGGGCTGTAAGAAAGCCTCCATGAAGATATGGGGTAGTTAGCCATGTGAAAGTGTGAGTGTGGAAGGTCAGAAAGTGGGGAGTGTTGAGATGAGATGGACAGTCTGTGTGGAGGTACTGGGAGAGAGATTCACAGGTCACAGGGTGTTAGGTAGGTGGTCCAGTAGACGACAGAGGAATGTGAAGTGTGTTTCCTGTGTGGAGGATTTGTGGAATGTGCTAAGGCGAATGGTCTGTGGGGGATCAGGGTGCTTATAATTGAGATGGGATTAGTGTACATGATGTTTCTGCAGACTTTGGATTGTTGGGAGCCAGGGTTTATATGGGGAGAAGTAATTAAGAGATTGGGGTACACACCTGAAATGAGGGACACAGGGTCCATATGGGAGGTGTTCGGATGTACATGGATGGGTTGAGTGCATAAATTCTGTGATTGGCATGAGAAGATCCTGGGTGCAGCGTGCAAGGTATTAGGTGTTAGAAGTTCTTGATATGACAGCAGGGTTCAAATGATCTCTAGGGAGGAGTTGGGGTAGACAAAGTGTGAGATGAGTTGAAGGCGTTGGGGACGGTGGTGTGAGTAGCCTATTGGAATACACAGTCCAAATGCAGTGGTGGAATATGAGGTCTGTGTGTGGGTGTTATCAGGGCACATGATCTATATCCAGAGATACTAGGGAGCATGGACCAGTGTTCCTGACACCTTGGAGCATGGGCCTGTGTGGATGACGGGGCACACGATTTCAGGGAAGTGTTGCATGTATATGCTCTGTGATATGTGGGCATTGGAGCACATGGTCAGTGCACTGGATGACTGGGAGCATGATTTGTATGAGTGGCTGAGACTCAGACGATTGTGACCCTTGAGTATATTTTGTGGGGATGCTGGGGGTATAAGGGCACAGTAAGGATTCCTGGGCACCAGGTTATGGGAAACAGGGCCTAGGGGAGGGCACAGCAGAGGATGGGCTTTGTGGAGGTGTTGGCATGTTTTGGAGTAGAAGATGGAGCATCAGAAGGGTAATATGGGGCTGTTTGTGTTGATATTCTGTTGGGGTAGCTGGAATCTGCAATTATCCTCTGTTGTAGACAGCTGTAAGGTGTTCTGATTAATCTTGGAGTGTGGAAGTTTGGCAGAGCTGTCCAGGGGCCTGTAGCAGACAAAAGTTCATTGACAGCAGCTTGGACCCAAGGGAGGACATTCTGATGGGGATGGATGGGTGGGCTGGTGAGTGGAGGGACCCCTGGCAAGAAGCTTCTCTAATCCCTCAGGGATGTAGAGGTATTTCTACATAGGAGACAGAAATCTCCCAGAAGAGGCAAGAGGACCACAGTCAAGGACACTCAGCTCAAGTGAGGGACTCTAGGTGCCACATGATAGAAGGAAGTCTGCCCAGGTTGCCCTGGTGGGGAGGGAGGAAGAGTCTATGTTGTCCTTGAGGCAGCTGAAGTGAGTATACCACGTCCAGCCCTCGATGTGGGAGGTGGTACAAGGCTGGAGTGGGTATCTGAGCAGGGGATGGCTCCATCACCTGAACCCCCAGCAGCCTCACTGAGATCAGGTGGCTGCGTGCCTGGCTAGAAAGGTGGGTGAGCCTAGGCTAAGTGACTGCTGCTACTCTTACCCTGGTGCTCTGGGGCATGAAGAACTTTTGGGGTGGCTGTGTGTGGGATGCTCCTGGGACTGCCTGGCAGGCGCCCTTACTGTCCTCGGAGGACACCCGGAGGCTATAGGGGCAGATTGCTGCTCACTGTCCCCACTAAGTCCCAGCTCAGGGGCCAGGAACTGGTCAGGTGCCTGAGGGTCTGGGTGTGTGTCTGTGGGCTGTGTTCACGGGGTGCTGGGCCTTGTGCCCGCGCCCTTACCGTCCTCGGTGGGCACGTAGAGGTTGAGGTACAGGCAGTCCTCGCTCTGGTTCTGCACGTAGGTGGCAGCCGCCTCCAAGTTGTCGGTGAACCACACAGGCAGCATGATGGCCGGCAGCGCCCCGTGCAAGTTCTGCGGGCAGGCGGGCGGCAGGGTGGTGGCGTTGCGCACGCCGGGCCAGGAGGCGGGTGCCTCAGGCGGCTGGAAGCGGCGGGCGCCCAGGGGCGGCGTGGCGTAGGGCACGCCCAAGAACTGCACGACTGGGCCCAGGATCTCGTTGTTGAGCTCGCGCCGCACACCGCGCACTTGCCCGTAGGCCGTGTTCACCACTGGGAAGCGCTCCTTCCCGAGGCTGCTGAGGCCCAGGCCCGGGCCGCCAGGGCCACCGCCAGGACCCCCTCCCCCCCGTTGAGCCCCCGCCAGCCCCACCAGACACAGCGCCAGGAGCCACATGCTGATCGGGGACCCCCCCTCCCTCCCCGGGACCCCCCCCTCGGAGAGAGAGAGAAGGGGGGGAGAGGGAGGGAGGCCCCCTCGCCCCAGGGGGCAGGAGGGGGCAGGGGAAAGGAGGGAGGAGGGGCGCGGGGAGGGACCTGGGTTAGACGGGACAGAGAAGGGGTCTGTTCCTCTCCATGGAGGGGGCAAGGGGTGGGGAAGGGGAAGGGGAAGGAGGTGGGAGAAGGTGAAGGTAGGCCCGACCTGCAGGAGGCAGAGCAGAAGGGACAGGGTGCAAGATACAGACAGACAGACAGACAGACAAAAATATAGAGGTGAAAGAGGGAAGGGATGTTGGATGGGGTAGACAGAAAGGAGCGGGGAGACAGAAGAGACAAAGTGGTTAGTGACTTGGATTTCAGACCAAGTTGCCCCACTCCTTCCACCCACAGGCCCCCGCACCCTCCCCCCAGTAGGGACCCAGGCTGGGGGAGAGGCAGATGTGGTAAAAGTCCAGGATAAAGTCAGAGAAAAGGGTGGGTCAGTTCCCCAGATCCAGCAGCCCCTCTCCAGACTGCCATCCCTCCCAGCAGGCTCTCCCCAGGGACTCAGGAGTCTCAATGCCCACCTCCCTGGGAGGAATGAGGTAGACAAGGAAAATAAAAATACCAAGTCATTAATTAGTGGGAAGTGGCGGGTTTGTTTATATGTGTTAATTACTCCTGAGCTATAATTTTACTGCACTGAACCCCGACCCCAGGCCAGACTAGGGCCCTTCTTGGGACTGTATAAGCCCAGCACCTTCCTTCTCCTTCAAGACACCATTCCCTAAGGATTTATGTGGCCCCTGGCCCCCTTTCTCCCCAGGCACTGTCATTTCTTTTCTCAGAAGTTGGGGTGCCTCGAGGTAGGGGTTAGAGTACAGAGAGGATGCTGGAGGGGCAAATCCGGGGACAGATGCGTGATCCTGCAGCCGGTTGCTGGGCGACGGGATGCTGCCCCGCAATGTTACCTCGGCAACGGGCTGCAGCTTTAACCCTGGAGGGGGGGTCTGGAGGAAGAGGGGAAGGGGCTAGTTTGCTTGAAGGGTCCTTTGAGGGCCTGAGGGGGGACGACAGAGGTGTGAGTCAGAATGCTAGTTCCCCCAACCATATAATAGAGGAAGAATATATGTTGAGAAGAGGAATCTGGGGGCATGGAGAACGCTAAAAGATCCGCCTCTTGCCCCCCTTGTTAGCCAATAAGAGCAGAGCTCTAGTGACCAGGCTCTGGCTGGGGAGAAGGGGTGCTGAGGTGGCTTGGGGAAGTACTGAATAAGCCCCCTCCCACAGCCTTGAACAGTCTTGTACTCCAGACACCTCTTCTTTCCAGGGCATTTTGATGTGTGTCCTGGGGGCAAACCTCAGCTCTCTTCCCATCCCATCCCATCCCATCCCATCCCATCCCATCCCATCCCAGCCCAGCCCATCCCATCCCATCCATTCACCTCCCTTCCCCTTGCCAGCCCCCTACCATTGCTGCTCTGATGCCTGGGTGCTCAGGGCAGCAGGGGCAGGACAAGAGAAGAGATCAGACCAAAGGGGCAGGCACCCAGGTCATTTCAGCAAGCCCCCCCACACCCCCACCAGCAGCCAGAGCTGTTTGCTGACGCGGGGTTTTCAGAGCCAGGCGCCAGCCCGCGGGTGGCTCTCTGCAGGTGTCAATTTATTCCAGAGATGAGGACACTGGAATCCTTACCACTCACACCCAGCCACCCTCCCCCTCTTCAGATCCTCTTAAGGGCCTGCTCCCTCTCACCTGGAGGGGGCTTGGAGTTGGCTCCCCCAGGACCTCTTCCTATGCCAGGCTACCTTCAGCCACCATGGCCTTGCTCCTCCTCCCTCCCTCCCAAATGGCCTGCCTCAGTCAGCCCCTCTTCTTTAGGGTTCCTAGGCCCCTGGCCTCCTCCCCTCCAAGCAGCTTCTTTCCCTTCTTCCCTCCGAGTAGAGCCCCTCCATCTCTCCCCTCTCTGGTGCTCCCTTGGAGCAGTTTTCCTTGGCCTCTTCCAGCTTGCTCTAGCTCTTGCCTTGTCTCTCACCCCTCTGTCTTTTTTCATTTCTCTTCTACATCTCTCTCCTTGGTGTTTCTCATCTGTCTCCTCCAAATACCTTCCCCAGTTTTCTCCCTCAAGCTCCCTCCTTTTCTCTCTGTCTCTCTCTCCCATCTTTATCTCTGTCTCCCCCATTTTCTCTCCCCATCTCAGTCTACCACATCTTGCTCCCCCGTCCTTCGCCCCATCCATTTGCCTTACTGTCTCCATTCCAGCCCAGGCCTGACTCCTCCAGCCGGTAGAGTTGAGGGACGGGGGCTCAGGCCGCAGCACCCCCCCGCTTCCCGCAGTGGGGAAAATGGCTTGGCCGGGAAGGGGAGGAGGGGGAGGGGGAGATGGGAACACACGGGGTCTGTGGGCCCATTCAAAGGATCATTCATGGACTGGAGAGAGGCAGAGACAAAGAGACCAAGACGCAGAGACACGGCGAGAGCATCCCTAGGCGGAGACACGCAGACAGAGCAGGCTGGGGGAAACCAGGCGCAGGGAGGAAGATGGGGAGAGGGAGACCCCAGCGGACCGCCACGCAGCCCCCTCCACCCAGCCTGGCTTAGCTCCTACCTGGCTCAGCCCTGGGGCCGTGGTGCCTCCATCCAGGGCTCCGAGTGGGGGGCCGACGGGCTTCGGGAGGGGGGCGGCGGCCTCTGAGCCCCCGCGGCCCCGCAGGCCCAGCCCCCGCCCGCAGAGCCTCACCCGGCGGGGGAGGGGGATCGCCCCAGCCCCGGGGGGCGGGGCCGGGATCCAGTCGGTCCCTGGGAAAAGGAGAGCTAGGGGATGGGGTCAGGGGGAGCCTAATAACAGGGAACCCCGCAGAGGGGATGGCAGAGCAAGGAGGGGACGACGGGACAAGACTGGACTGGAGATCCACTGGCTCCGTGGCCTGGCTTCGAGGGACCAGAAAGCGGTCCAGGCGGAGGATCCTAAGGGATCGGGTGCTGAAGGAAGAGTCCACGGCAATCCCCAGGGGCTCGGGGCCCCCGCAGCGCAGGATCCGCGGTGCAGGGGCAGGGATCCAGCCGGAATCCTCAGGGAGGGGGAGGGATCTAGTCGATCCCGAGGGCGGGCGGGAGGGGGAGTCCGGGGAGTCAGAGGAGGACGGGAGCGGTGCCCGAACCCCCGAGGCAGAGGTCGCGCAGCTCCTCGGAGGGAAGACGGGGATGAGGGGATGGGGAAAGGCTCAGCAGCCAGGAGGCCCGGACTCCTGGCTCCGCTCGCCAGGACCCGCCCGCCCCGCGTCCATCCCAGCCCGAGAGTGATGATCCGCCGGCGGAGCAGCCGCAGCAGCCCCGCGCGTCACCGCGCGGCCGCCTCCCCCGCCCCCTGCCGAGAGAGCGGCGCACACCCCTCGCTCGCACCCGCCTGCCCGCCCGCCCTCAGGAGTGTGGGGCGATTGGAGATCGTGGAAGGGGGTGGGAGTGGACAGACGGACGGATAGACGTAGTCAGCCGGGGCAGGGTGGAAACGTTCCCCCGGATCTCCCACCCTCCGGGTTCTCGGGGTCTAGGGAGGGAGGGGGAGAGGAGCCGAACTAAAGGGGCCTGAGCATCACACAGAGAGGGCGGTGCCTAAGACCTGGAGGAGGAGACCAGTGGCAAACTGGGCGGAGCTTAACTGCAATGGGTGGGGTCTGGCATCCGTGGGACCTCCCCTTCTTGGGAGAGGGTCTGGTTTGAAGCAGAACGGGAGGAGCCTGTGGGGAATGGGGCGGAACTTTGCGTGGGGACCAGGATCCTTGGAAATTAGCCAGAGGTGCGGGCGGGGAGGGTTTCGAAGAGGCGATCAACTTGGAAAGTGGGCCAATCCGTGACGCAAATCCTCTAGTCCCGCCTCTAACACCTCCCCTCTCTGCTCCGTTCTTTTGCTGCTAATTGGTTCCAGTTTCTCCGCCCGCCAGACATCTTCGCCACTCAACACTGGTGTTACAAAGGCGCAAATATCCGTTTTGGGGACCTGGGTGCTGGAAATAAACACGGCCCTGATTGGGCACCTATGTACCTTATTTGCTTGGGCGATCAGGATTGGTTGGCCTCTTGGGTGGCCTGGGCGGTGTTTGTCCCGCACGTGACCATCTACTACCATGGCCGGACCAGGAGCTGCTTTCCGTCGCCTTGCTGCCTTGTCAGGAGCTGGAGCCTTGGGCTTGGCCACCTACGGGGCGCACGGTCAGGGACCTGGGATCACAACTGGGACGTGCAAGGGGACTACGTCTGTGGGTCTGATGCAGGCGGAGAGCCTACGAGAAGTGCCCCTCAGCCATACAGTCCGCGGAGCCTAGATCTTTTTTTTTTTTTTTTTTTTTGGTAGGGGGGACCGAGAATTGAACTCAGGACCTTGTGCTTGCCAGGCAGGCACTTAGGCCGCTGAGCTATATCCCCGGCCCCTAAATTTTTTAATGCCCCTCAGCGTCCCAGTACTGTGTTTCCACTACAAATAGGAAGCTTCCTTGGGAGCGCTCTTTCTCACCGGTGTCCACCTGGTCTTCCGCGTTTGGGGACAGTGGGGACTGGTGCTATGCCTGATAACCTTTGCCTCTCTCCACAGGCGCTCAGTTCCCGGATGCCTACGGGAAGGAGGTGAAGTAACTGCGCTGGGGCTCCCTGACCCGCTGGTCCCCGAAGGCACAGAGTCTGGGGTCCTTGAGGAAAGCGCGGGCTGCGGGGAAAGCGCGGGTCTTTGGTGCAGCAAATGCTACAGGCCTGTGATATGGATGCCTGGGGTGGGGGGAAGCTGGGATTTAAGGGGGGACGGGGTGGCAAACTTTGATCCTATATGTCACCACTGGATCTAGTTGCCTGCTTTGCTTAGGAAGTCCTCCGTGTCTCTTTTCTTACAGCTCTTTGACAAGGCCAACAAACACCACTTCTTTCACAGTCTGGCCCTGTTAGGAGTACCCCACTGCAGAAAGCCCCTCTGGGTAATCTGACCCCCTGCCTAACCCTAAGAAAACCTATCCACTGCCTCAGCCTGCCCTGTTCTTAGGAGGCCATATTCTGCCCTGTGTCTCCTGCAGGCTGGGTTGCTGCTAGTCTCTGGAACCACCCTGTTCTGCACCAGCTTTTACTACCAGGCTCTGAGTGGAGATACTAGCATCCAGATGCTGGGCCCAGTGGGAGGGAGCTTACTTCTCCTAGGCTGGGTTACCTTGGCTCTTTGAAGTCTGTTTTTAGTTACTGAGCTTTTCTGGGTAATTTTGTGGGAAGATGAAACAGAAAGGAAATTAAAAAAGAAAAGCAAAGAACTTTGGAGCCTTTATTCATCAAACCAAGCTCTTGGAGAGGAAAAGGTAAGGATTCAACCTTTGAACTCCTTCCCTTTTCTAAGACTTAGCAATGAATCTTGCTTCTGGAGAGTCTGTTGTTTTCAAGGTAACTTGTTATATTCTTAAACTGGTGAGCATTAGAGTCATAAAGAATGCTTAAAATAGCTGAGCATAGTGGCACACACATATAATCCCAATATTCAGGAGGCTGAGGCAGGAGGATCACCATGAGTTCCTGGTCAGTCTGGGCTACATAGTGAGTTCAAGGCCAGTGTGAACTACATATTGAGATCCTGTGTCGACAAAACAAAACAAAACCAAAAAAAAAAGCAAAACTGGGTATAGGGGTACACATCCGTCATCCCAGCACTCAGGAGGCTGAGACAGAAGGATTGGCCCCGAGTTTAAAGCCAGCTTAGGCTACACAGTTAGTTCAAAGGCAGCCTGCACTACAAAGTGAGACCCTGCCTCAAAAAAACAAAAACAAAACAAAATAAAAACCCATAAGAATGCTTGAAATGGGCTGGGGATTTAGCTCAGCGGACAGCATCTGCCTGGCAAGCGCAAAGTCATGAGTTCAATTCCCGGTACCTGAAAAAAAAAAAAAAGAATGCTTGAAATAATGTAGATTCTTACTGAAACTCTCTTTGGTGTTTTCAGATCTGCATTTTAGTAAGCTTGTCGTGTAGGTCTAATGTTCACTAGAATTTGAAAATTACTGTAGGCCATAAGTTTTCAGTTCTGTTGTTTTATCAATTTGTTGTACATACACTTTAAAAGTGAAGGCTGCCAGGCATGGTGGCGCACTCCTGTAATCCCAGCACTCGGGAGGCTGAGGCAGGAGGATCGTTGCAAGTTCAAGACTAGCCTGGGCTACAAAGTGAGCTCAAGGCCAGCCTGAACT